TCTTTCTATGAACTAGCAGTTAAATTTGAATCAATTAATATTTTAAATTCGTGTAATATAGATAATGTTACACCAATCATGAAAGCATTGATAATGTCAAGCCCAAACGAAACAATTTTCAAAATGAATGATAAATTCAATTTGCAGACTTATCAATTTACAAACCAAATCAAGTATGTTTTATCTTTTGCATACAATATCTCAGAGTTATTTTCTACATTTAGAAATCCATTACTCTCTTCGATTGTTTCAACAAATAATATTATATCAGTAATGAATTTGAATGAAAGCAAAGTTATTCGTTTAAAGATTCATTTAATCTTCCATGAGGCCCTAATTCAAAATAATGATTTTATGTACAAGAACTTTAATGTTTTGAATCAAATAAAAAACAATGACCTTCTGGAAATTTTAGCAAAAGCTTGTTTGAAAGCTGACAAAAAAATTCAAGCAGATTTTGAACAAATCATGGGTATTAAATTTACAGCGATCAAACAATTTCATGAATCCATAGAAAAAATTCCAGTTGATCGGTCTCCAATTACAATAGATGGTTGCCATATTTGTTTTGAATGCTCTAAAAATACTGATATTGAAAAACTCAAATCAATGCAATTAATTCTAATAAGCCCTGGTATTCATATCAATGTGTTAACTTATGAACAAACATTGAAGTTTTTGGAACAAATGCCAGCATTTATTCATTTGGGCCTTTCCAATATAAGTTCTGATCGATCTGTAAACTTAAATTATTTTCTACTTCAAAACGAAGATTATTCCCCTTTAAAAATTTCTACAGATAATTATTATTACTTTAAGATCACATTGTATGACAAAATCGTATCCTTTGAATATTCAAAAGTATCAGATACGTTGTGGATGATTACTGTACCAAAAAACATGAAAAACATAAAATTACCCAAAGAGTTTTCAGGGAGGTTAAAATGGTACATTCAAATAACGAAAGTTGATCTCCCAGGACATCCTCTGCAAGATGAAATACAGGAAAAAATAAAGCATGATAATGAGATTGGTGATATCTTAACTTCATATCCCGGGAAATTTTATGTAAATTATAGCACAACGATAAGAAGTGATAGTTTATTCGTCAATGGAAATCCTATAGAATTTCTTATATATATTCCAAGCGAATCAGGAAATTTGGCGTTGGAGTGTAATTTAATTCACTTAGATGCTACTTTTTCATGGCCGAAATATATATTTATTTTTCCTCGTGGTAATTACTATATGCGAGGTTACCCTCTAGGGATATACATAGGGCGCAGCGAATCATCCGCTGCTTATCAACGGTGGCTTACAGCCATGAATATTGAATTTAAATCATTAAACATTATGGAGCACTTTTCAAGAATCAAATGGATGAGCGATTTAGGTACTGGAGTTTTAAAATTTTTGAATACGAATCATTTCCAAAATTATATCTGTATTAGGCACTATCTCGGAACCATGGGCAATAATACTTTACTACATGTTTTTGCTTTGATAGTATTATTATCAAAATCGGCCCAAGATTTTGAGGACAATTACAAATGTTTTGATCCATCGGTTCAGAAAATGTATGCTACAAAGAATATATCAGATGAGCAGCTGGAAAAATGGAAGCAGATATATAAATATCAAGAGCATTTAGCAGCATACCACTGCATTCCACCTATAAGCACTAATAATAGTGCAGAGGGTAAGCATAGACACATTAATGAACTTGCAAAAAAAGCAAGAAACTTTTCTACTTTCATCAAATTCATTCTGAATGATACTATCATTAGGATTAATGAATCAATTGATCCCATTAATAAGCAAAAACGCGAGAAGAATGACTTGTTAAACGAAAAATGCATACATTGCGGATTCTCCTATAATGATATTAATATTGATAAGAATCCTTGTAAATATTGCAAGGATTTCTTTATGAATAAGAGTCATGTTCCCTCTGCAGGCATACATGTTATGAAAATAGGAGAAAACGTAGGTGAAATCATAGAATTCCCAATCGATAAAAATGTAGGTGATCAGGATGAACTCGTGGATCACAAAGAAAAGAGTTCGCCGATCGAAATATCAAAATACGCAGAATTTATTGATATTGACGATAAAAATAAAGCAGTTTTAGTCGTAAAACTGCTTTATAATCTTGAAATGTTCCAAGATGCCAAAGATTTAATCAATTCTCTGGAAAAACAATCAAAAATTATGAATCTGCATTACAAAATAAACCAGAAATTTGGTTGGAAAAATACTTGCCTGAATTAATGAAGGAAGTAAAAGATGCGAGAGCTACTAGAATGAGATTGAAGATAATAAAGAAGTAGAGATGATGAGTGAATAAAAACTTTTTATTGAATTTGTATATAAAAGAATTGTAAAATATAAAAATAAAGAAGTGGTTGATAGGAATTTGAAAATTCGTTGGGTGCATATAAGTTTGATAAATATATTTATGAATATTAATGTCAAATTGGGTGGTTGCATATAGTAATGAAAAATATATTAATAAAAATTAATGTCAAATTGGTTGGTTGTATATAGTAATGAAAATAAGATTAATAAAAATTAATGTCAAATTGGGTGGTTGCGTGATAGAATGCTTCTGTGTATGTGTGGCGTGAGTTAGCATCGGGTGGTTGCGTGATAGAATGCTTCTGTGTATGTGTGGCGTGAGTTAGCATCGGGTGGTTGCGTGATAGAATGCTTCGGTGTACGTGTGGCGTGAGTTAGCATCTGGTGGTTTCATCACAAATTTTAACCCATCCAACTCTTATTAATTATTAAAATTCTTTTACAATTTCTGATGTATTTTTTGAAAACATTTCATATGCAATATTTCTCCTTTTCTTTCCTCAAATCTTCAAATATTAATAACTTTGGATATGAAATTATTTGGATCTTTTATGAATTTTAAATGTCTTTCTTGTTGTAAACAGAAATTCATCAAAAGTGACAGCTCTCAATTTTTTGACATTTGTAAATTCTAAATTGAATGAGAAAAATGAAATAATACTAAGCATAATACAATATTCTAGATTTAATTATAATTAGGAAAAAGTTAGTTTTGAGAGTACTTTTCATAGGCATATAGAATGAAATCTTCTGAAAAATAATATCACATAAACTCATATTATTTTCTAATATATAACTATTTTATATAAAAATCAAATTCAATGATCTTAAAAGCGAAGGATAAACCTCAAAATTTACGAATATAATGAGTGGGAATATAATGCTTATCTATCATAAAACCATATGAAATATTAATTTTTGCTTTACGCCTAATTTTTGAGACAATTAGCAAGAAGAATTGCATGATAAATAAAAACATTTAATCAAAGTCAATTTTATTTTCATATTCAAATGGACTGAGTGTTAACATTTAACATTTTTTGCTAATTCGTCAAAAATTAGCGTAAAGCAAAAATTAATATTTCATATGGTTTTATGATAGATAAGCATTATATTCCCACTCATTATATTCGTAAATTTTGAGGTTTATCCTTCGCTTTTAAGATCATTGAATTTGATTTTTATATAAAATAGTTATATATTAGAAAATAATATGAGTTTATGTGATATTATTTTTCAGAAGATTTTGTGTTCTTCTTCAAAATTTTATTTTTTTATTAAAAAGAATCTTTACAAAATATACATTGACTTTAATTAATATTTGAAAACGTGCTCTATCAAAAGTTCCAAAAATTCAATATTTTAGCTTTTCTGAGGTGTCACTTTTGATGAATTTCTGTTTACAACATTCTTAATATCAAATCGATTAAATTATTAATATTTTCTAAATTATGCCTTAAAAATCCAAATATAAAAAATCGTAAATAAAAAATATATTTTTTATTTTTATTTTGTAAATAATCCGTTTACTAAATGGGACTGTATCATGAAAGTAACAAAAATCATTATTTAACAAGATTCAAAACTGGTGCAACGAAATGCACATTGATTTTTTAGTGTAACAAAGAGAGATTTATTGTAAAAAGTACAAAATAGTATATTTATTATCGTGATTAGCGTAGAAATGTATGAGTTTGGGACGGATTTCTGGTGCATTCATAACTAAAGTGATACATTGTCTGGAGCAAGTTCAGATCTTTAACTTATGGCTTGTTTGGTGCTAACTCACCCAATTTAAGTGCACTAGAGGGGATTTTGTCTGTAATGAGCATGCACCTTGAGTTGTTGCTTGGTCCGTGTACGAAAGATAGTAATTTAATACTATACTCGATTAAATGTGAATTTCTAATTTTGAATTTGCGTTTTTTCCTGAAAATAGTTACAATATATGAAAGAGTTGGCAAAACTAGAGGACACGTCTTTAAGGGTTTGGCTCTTGCTTCATGTTAATATGCCGAAACTAAAATAAACGTATATTGGGGGTCGAAAATTGAGAGCTCATATCTTTAAGTGAAGAATTCAACCATTAAGCTTTAAACAATTCTTGCTCATTATTCGATAAAACGTATGCAATTTGCTCATGACATTCTTTCCGCAGCCTGTTAATACAAAATCACTAGAGAACAAATTAATAATATGGTTAGATCAACAAATAATCTACAAATTCTAATATCTCTGTCAATGGTGAATATAAAAATTGCATAGGTTAAAAGGAATTAAAGAAAAAGATCCAAAATCGAGACAATAATGATGAATGGCACTATTTTTAGTCTACGTCTTAGAATGAAACTCCAGAATGATGAGAACTTTTGTCAAATTGGCTTTCATCAAACCTGTGCTAATGATAAATCAATCTAAATTTGGTAAATGGACTAAATCTGATTAAACGACGAGCGTGTTCATGGTGCAAATGCATATGATACAATAATATTCATTTTATTTTTCTAAAAATAAAAAAAAATTGATTTCAAATTTATAGATTTAAAATTAGATTAAAAAGAATTGAATATTTAAATAAAATATATTTTAAGAAAAATGATCAAAAATTGTAAATGTAAAAAAAAGATTATATAAAATTAATTTCATGGGGAAACAAGATAAGTAAACACCTTACCGTGGTTGGTTTCTATCTCACCACGTTCCTTGATCTCGAACTTATCACCGTAGATAAGTTCGTAAACAGCTCTTGACAAGTGCACGTTCATTGGTACACCATTGTGCTCCATTTGTTGAGCCATGTTGATAGCTGGACCAAGGATTTCGAATGTTGGCTTATCTGTACCTAAGATACCAGCGACAATTGGGCCACCAGTGTTTACACCGACTCTGATCTGGAGCTTCTCGTTATGTTGCTGGTCGATTTCCAAGATCTTCTTGATTGCTTGTCTGCCGAATTCGACGACTTCTCTTGCGTGAACTGATGGTTGGTTGACTTCATCGAAAATACCACCAGCAGACATGTAGCAGTCACCGATGCATTTGCATCTTGTCATTGTTGGAAGGGAGTTGACAAGAGAGTCAAACTCCTTGAAGATGAGGTTGAGCATCTTCATGACATACTGTGCTTCATGGGAACCGCACCATGGAGTGAATGAAACAATATCAATGAATGAAACTGTGACAGATTTGACAGCGAATGAGATGTTGCTTTCTCCAGCCTGTACACGAGGAACCAAAGAAGCTGGAAGGATGGAAGCGAGCATGATATCTGATCTCTTCTTCTCATCACTGATCAATGTTTCGTGTCTGACCTGCATTGAGATATCACGGCCTTCGATGATTGTTTCACCACCGATGTTGACAGAAGTGAACAAGAGATGGATTGTCTGATCACCTTGTTTGTACTGAACCTTGGCCTGTGACTTAGAGAAGAGCTGGTCAATGCCACCAGTGAATCTTGTGTCATTGAAGAAGTCATGTAACTGTGTTCCAATGAGTGTTGATGAGTCAGTGATGCCGAATGCTGTCTCGAATGATTTGTTGACAGAAATAATTGTGCCTTCAGAAATTGATGAGACACAAATCATATCTGTAAGTTTGTTGACGACATGAGAGAAGAACTCTTCATCTCTATCAGCGGAATCATCATTATCATTGGAGTAATCACCAGCAAGTAATGACATGATCTTAGGGATCTTAAGGCAAACATCTTCTGGGCAATGAAGGAGTTGCTTCAATGCGAAAATCAATGGTTTCTCCATCGAGTTGATCTGGATGATAATGATAACCAAAGCAATGACAACCAAAACTAAGAAGATGATTAACTTTGTGAGTAAATTTGTGAATGCCTTTCCTGTATCCTCTTTGATTGTTGCGACAATTGAGTTTGCCATTGGATAGAACAATGTTTCGTACAAAACAATTGGACCTAAGTTCCAAATGGAGCTCAAGTCGCCACCAATTGGAATGTTCTTTCTTACTTCGGTAATTTTAATCAAAGCAAGTAATAGATATACTTGTTGATCAGAATCGAAGCAAGTAATGATATCTGTGAAATCATTAGTGATGTTCTTTGTCTGTTTGCATGTGGTCTGCTTTGAGGATTCATCAATGCCTTTAGCCATACCAACATAAGGATGATCGAGATCGCCTTCGCCGCCGAATCTCGCCAAGTGGTAATAGTTATTCATAGTGTTAATCATCTTTATAACCAAAGTAAGTTGTGCTTCTGTGTCGTTTATGACATCATGGAGGCCGACCTGGTAAATAGCAACTTTCATGAGTGTTGCAAACATACCATGCATGTATGATGAAGCACCAAGTAAGTAGTTGATGTGTGGTGATGAAATTCTCATCTCATAGCAAAGTGTTCTGTACATGACGCATCCGTAGTAACCAGCAAGGCATCCGAAAACAATCAAAGCAGCAACGAAAACTAAGAAGATGTAGGAAGTATCAACGCCATATGATGATTCACCGATAGATGTGAATACTTTGAGCATTGCTTCTTCTGGCTTTGAAGAAGCGTTTTCATTTGATGATGATGTGTTTGTATTCGTTGTTGTCTTATCTTTGTTGTTCTTGATGGAATAGAATGATGCGGAAACATTAGAAATAACTGTCTTTGGAAGATAAGTGAATACTCTGAACAACTGAATTTTGTTCTTCTTGAGAACATGCAAACCATAGAACATGCAAGCAGAAATAGCAATAACAACAAGACAGATATAACCAATCATGATGTAAAGGAACATATCACGATACTTTGTTGTTATTGATGAAAGATGAAGGAATACATATTTAAGAGCTTGAGAAATGTAATCACCTGGTTCAACATAGTTGTTCCAGCCAATCAAAAGATCTGTGGAACTAATTGATGAGTTTGTTACAACATATGAATCATCAGTAATTTTAGAAAGTTGGTTAGCAACTGATGAAACAATCTTTTCAGCAGATTGTAATTTATATGTGTAATTTGTAATAGAATAGAAGTAATAGAATGGAATTGTATCACTGAAGATAATGTTCTTTGCTTTCTTCATGTTATCACTGAGATCTGTTGCCTTTCTAAATGAATCCAAATAAGTGGAAACTTCATTAACTTCTTTAAGTAAATATCTGAGAATAAGTGTGTAATTATGTGTTCCACCGAATGATTTGTAACTGATGTCTTTAATGTATGGATCATCAGATATTGGTTGATTATTAGCATTCTTAAGATTAACAATGATGTTCTTGACGGAAATGGATGCAAGCATGAAATTGAGTTGTCTAAGATATGCCATACCATAGAGGTAATCGAGTGGTCTGACAATCTTTGTGTTGGTGTATTTGTAGCAAGCAATGATACAAATCGTTGGAATGAAAATGAAAACAATCGTGGAGACAATGATCAATTTCTTAAGAAGTTGGATACCTTTGACATGATGTGAATCAATGAGATCTGACATAAGTGTCTTTGTGCCTCCTTTCGTATCTTCATCGGCGAAATCTTCAATGGACATATCTGTTTCGAGCATTGTCTTGGTTGTAACAAGATCTGTAACTGTCTTGTTTGGAATGTTCTCGAAAACAGCTAAACCAAGTTCGTGGACGTTATCTGGAACGACATTGATACCACGCTGAAGGAGTTGTGTGTTGTCGTGCCACTGCTTGAATCCGGCTGGATCAGCAATGATCTCATTCATGTAACGGGCGTAGAGACGAGCAACAAATCTGTTATTAGGGAACTTCATGAGGAGTTGGTCGAGTTCCTTCTGAAGATTTCCAACGGAAACGTATACGGATTTGATGTTGGTCTCGAGATCCTTCGTGTCGCCTTGGAGAATGAGATCCCAGACATTACGCATTTTACGCTTGGAGTGGTTCATGAGCTTGGAGATCTTCTCGATCTTCTGCTTGAGATCTGGTGTAAGGTTCACTTCACGGGTCTTTTGGATGGCGGAAATCTGAGATACAGCAAACTTGGCAAGCTGCGACTTAATGTGGTTCATTTGGATTGACTGTGAAATGATACTCAAAAGCTGAGTATTCTCTGTGTAAATAGCGCAGAACTTGGCAAATACGAACCATAATTCACCATCGTTTGCCCATTCGACGCAAGCGCTCTTGAAAATGGAGAAGTCAATGCATGTTGGATGGACATAGAGGAAGCCAGTTAATGCAACGTTAACTAACTTCGATGGTCTCTTGAATATTCCTACTTCGTGGTCCATTTCGAACTGGTCGAGCAAGGCCATGTGAGATGTGATCTTTCTCTGTACAATGAAAAGGGAAATGATGTAAGAAAGTGCGCACAAAAGAACTAATATTGCGAGTCCAACTTGGCCAGCTGTCTTGTTGATAGCGAGGAAGATGACGTTTGTGATGCAGTTGAAGATACCCCAGAAAGAGAGTGCGAGAACAAACTTCTGTGTGTTGATATCAACAAATGTACCCTTGAAGAAAATTACGGAAATTGAAAGTCCGTAGACAACCATGCATAAGCAAAGGCCGATTATTTGTGCTAAGCGATTCAAGTATACGACGCAAGATAAAATAATTGTAACGATCAAAGTATAGATCATCATCATCTTCTGTGGATATTCTTCAAGTGAGAGGAAAGAAATCGGGTGGAAGTTCAATGAGCGGATGAAGAATGTTGATAAGAAAACAAGCATGATGAGAATTGTTATTTCAGCAATGCATGTAATAACAATGATCGGGACACTGATAGACTTATTTTTGTTGCCCATTAATGTGCAGCATGCAACTGCAACGTGTTCTAAGAAGGGCTGAATCAGGAAGAAAACGGATAAGCCTAAGCCGTTCATTACGTATGCAATGTACTTGTTTGTCTTAGCAGTTTGCTCGTAGTGCCAAGCCAAACCTGCGAACGTGAAAAGATATAAAATTTCAAAAATAGTAAATGCTAAAAGAATTGGGAAACCAATAGAGTAGATATTGATTCCAGATGTTGTGTACCAGAATGTGCACTGGAAAACTGAAAGTGTTGTCTTGATAGCGTTTTCCTTACCCCATAATAATTTTGATTGTGGCATAAAAGTAGGGCCGATGAATTGCAATAATCTTAATATAGTGATTATTGTGTGAAATGCCGAATTTGTAATGGGATAATTGTCAAAGAAAGCGATATAATGGAAAAATGCGGTTTTCAGACGCTTAGTAAGAGGTCTCTGAATTAAGCCTCCGTACTTAGCAGACTGAGATGAATTTGAGAAATGAGCCGAAGAACTACGTGTTTGGTTGCTTTGGGCTTGACTCATTTCAATATAATTTTTGAAACCGTTTTTCGATTTTTTTTTAGGAGTCTTTCAGAATTCATAAATTACTCTACTTTTGAATGCATATTTTTTTATTGATCTTCGGGATATATGCTGTTGTGTTCATATGTGTTCATTTATAAATATAAAATAAGAAATTACGAACTGTCATAGGGTTTTTAAAATTAAAGATAATAGTATCAGAATCATTATTCAAGTAAAAAATATTCGATCGATAGGCTTTGAATATAAAAATCGTTCCTCTTAAAAGTTAAATCTCATTTTAATGATAATTTAAAGAGTAAATACATATTCGTTAGTTCGTAAATTAGAACTATACAAAAAATTCATTGTGCTAAAAAAACGTTTTTATTTCAAAAGATTATGTAACGTTTTTATGAGAAAATTTTTTAGATTTATCTGGTTGGAAATGATTGTTAACTATATTTGGGATGTTTTCTAATTTTCACTCTAAAAATTTCACTCAATTTTCTAAGAATTTTGCATATTTGCCTTTCAAATTAATTTTAACTTGTGAATCATGTGTCGATTCCAAATTTTAAATTTTAATGATACTATTTAATATCTTCTCAAAAATATAATTCAATGCAAATATGTTTATATTATATGTGTATTTCATGAGTTGTAATTTCTCTCATATTGTCCGTTAAAAATTTCATTCAATTCCAAAAAATTTATTTGTAAACAATAGCGATTGTAAATTGGGATAATTTTTTGTCTCTCAGGGCTCGAATGTTTTCTCATTTTTAACCAAAATTTGAACTTGTGGTCATTCCAACAAAATTGAATTTCAACACATAAAAAACTTAAGTAGGAAATGCTCTTCGACAATGATTTTACCAAGAATGATTGGTTCTTACGCAAAGAGCATCAAATTTTATATTTCAATAATTCGTATTGTACACTCATCAAAATTTTATGTGTTATTATAAAAGCACATGCTAATGTAAGTTTATTTATAGTTTAATTTGTGTATTCGATAGCATCTCAAAACAATCTTACCGTGTAAAATCATATTTTATTTGATATTTTATATGTTAGGTAAGTATACAGTTCATCGATATTTATAAAGGAATAAATAATTATCCTTAGAAATTTCAGTAAAAACAAGGGAAGGTGTTTGGGAGGTAAATATATGGAAAATAATGATTTCCATGAACTGTAGATTATTGTGCTAATATAAATTCTGAACGCGTTTGATGTGAAAGCCGTTTTCATTTTAATCTCTGACTGTATGCAAAATTAGATATGAAATTATGTGGAAACCTTGGACACATTAGTATAATATCGATTTGGAATCTAGAATATTTCATTTATAAGCAATAAATAATGAAGCCAAGTTCTAACACTGATTAAATACAGCCTTATTGAATGGATATTAATTTATGTACACAGTTGATGCTAATCTGATGATTTTAAATGAATCAATACCAGCCTAATACGCAAATGACTTCACAATAACTATTTCTTTTTGAAATTTGACATGTAAACCATTTTTTTATTTCACCTTAACTTTATTGTATCTCGATTAGAACAATAAATCTACTTCTACGATAGAAGTGACTTCATGCACGAATAAATATGGAATCCGAGAACATTAGTATTGTCATTGTTTTCGGCCGAGGAAATTAGTATTATCATTTCAAAAGTTGATGAAAAGAATCAAAAATCTTAATCGTAAATGTTTCGTACTAACTTGCACTTACTATCCTATGTATATCTTTGATCATTCTCTTTTAATTATCTTTATTATTTTTTCTCTTCAATAAATGAATTTAATGCAGATTCACACTGATTGGAAAATACATTACTTTTCTAAGTCAACTTAAGTGATACAGCATACAAAGAAGTATTTATTAAATGTATTTCCCTATCAAAGTTTCTTCTCGAATTAAATGTTGCTCATGTTAGAAATTTATTAACTAAGAGATAGACTAGCGATTTACTTTATAGTTGAAAAATAAATCGTTTACTAAAAAATAAAATGTATCCTTTTTTGAATAAATTATAATTTCATGCATTTTTCTCTAATGAATTTTGATTGTCATGAGTGAAGATGTTTCATTTTGCTCTTTGTATTCTTTTCTCTAATGAATACATAAATATCACCCATAATACATGAATTTTCATAATGAAACCCCTGTTTTGGACTATTTCCAACTCATCAAATATTCCAAAATTTTTTGCTTTTATTGATTTTGAAATAATTTTCTTAGAGATTCAAGATAATTTTTCAATTTTCAAAATTTTTTTGACGGTTTGGAAAGTTAAATAAACTTTTTATCAAGAAAACGTGTACTTATTGAAGTCTGAAATCGAGTACTTGAATATATATTATCCATATTTATATTTTCATTATGAGTTTTTATGTTAATATTTGAAAATAACTTCAACATTATGAAATCTATAAAGAAATGCATATTTTATTTTGAAAAATTCTAACAATATCCAGTGTTGAATTATTTTTCGTCCATATGTTCATTACCAAATTCCAAATTTTCCAATAATTTTAAATTTCACTAGCAGATCAAAGAGATCATGATTTTAAATATTACATTAGGCAATGATTTATTCTTAAAGCAACAATTAAAATAATTTCCAATATGGACAATATACTTCTCGATTATTAGTATAATCAGGCAAAACTTCTATCTAATTTCACTAACATACATTCTGTATGATGAAATTTCGCTTGATAATGCGCTTTGTAAAAATTTGTATCGAATATGAAAGATACAGAAAAATAATTGTTAGAATCTTCATATCTGCTAGTATTATGCTTAATCCAAGCATGAGTAATATGCAACGAAATCCGTATCTCTCTGACTTAATTTTTTATTTTTTTTTGAGTTTCAAATATTGAAATGATACTGCACTTGAGACAACAGTAAACTGTTTGGTCGAATTTTTCGGTAAAATTGTATAATGTTGGATTGCATAAGCTTAAAAGTTTCTTATAACTCTTAATATCGTTTTTCATACTTGTGTTTGATATAGGCAACAAACTTCTTCATTTTTTCGACTAGAATTTAGGCTGTATTCTAATAGTCCTAACAGCAATTTTTAAATATGTTCGGGTTATCCTAACAAAGAGTCCAAAATCATTTGTACGTAAAGATTTAAATGAATTCTGATACACTTTCAGTTTGACCTGTTGATCCTAAAGTAAGAATAGCCCCAAAGATTTTGTTTAAATTTACAAAAAGTGACAATGAGTGCTTCACCAAAGTCATTATCTCGCACTCAAATTCATTATTATGATCTGCGGATGAATAAATCACAAGAAGAGGAAGATCCTATTGAAGATTCTGAAAATGAAAATGGATTTCCTTCTGCACAAAAACCTCATTCGCAATCTTCAATTAATTCTACCTCAGATGAGGAAATAGAAAACAATCCGGAAACAATTGATTCAGAAATTGAAGAACCCAGACCACAAGTTGTTGTTTTAAAACCAGCAATTAATTCATTATTAAAAACACCACCACCACCGAAAATGGTACAACAAGATGAATCTGAGATTGATGAATCTATAGACTCTGAAGATATAAGTCAGAATCATAAAGGACCTGAAGATTCTGATATTGAACCAATATCAGACGTATCTTCACATCCTTCACACAGCATAGATGACAATCAAGAAGAAATAGAAGAAATACATTCTTTTCTTACATCGCAATACGAAGAAATTGATACACAGGGATTGGAAGAATTTTTCAAAGAAGAGTATATTGCATTGCGATTTGTAGAAGATCTTACTAACACTTTAGAAATCTGGGATTGCAATTTAACAAGAATTATTAAATGTCGACATATCCCTTTAGAAACAGAATCAAAACATCCTAATTACAGACAAATTATCGACCATAATGAAGTTATTTGCATCATTAATGATAAAATCCTTCCAAAAGAAATCAACGAAAATACCAAGTTTTTATTGAAAGAACCATTTAAAGTATTTACATACCTAGATGATCTGGCTATTATCGCCCCATCATTTATTGCATTTTAGTTTGTATATTTTTTATATAATTTAAATTGTTTGTATTCTTTACCTTTTCAAAGCGTTTTTCCTTACAACATCGAATGTAAGCTATATTTTACTTTCCACATACTTGGACCTGAAATATTTCTTTTTATTTTTCCAGAAAGTATCTAAATACATATGATGCGATCTATCCATGCAACATACGCATTAAAATAATGACAGTATCCATATAGATGCATAATGAATTATAAATTCTTCATTCTCATTTTGTATTTTTACATAATTGAGGATCATTGACATTAAAAATTATCAGGGCAACAGAAGGTATAAGTACGTCAAACAACAATAATACATACAGCTTCTTCACTTGATTTCTGTATTTAATTTTGAAAATAATCTATCAGAAGAGCTGAGGTATGTCGCACAGATGAAGTAAGTCTATTACATAGCAATGATTCATGAATGATAGCTGATTGAAATTGGCAAAATCTAATCAAATTCGCTATTATCAAGGGAATATACTAATACTTTGATTTTGCAGAATCTAGGAAACAAAATCCTCGAATACAAAGGAAAATAGGATGATTGGAAATCTGGTGTTCTGAATTTTAGAAATTTTAGTTACTTTTCAAACTCTCAAAATTTTGAATGTCTGAAAGTAACGAGGAAAGGCGAAAAAACGAGTTCCCTCGAGACAGCCTTGTCTTCCGATCCCAAGTCAGCGTTCTTGATTTTGATAAGGAGGATGACCCAGAAACATATGGTGGGATGGCAATGGAACGTATATATAAAAATTTAGAAAATTTTTTATTGAATGGATCAATACCTAATTCAAATGAACAGAAAACAGTCATTCGTTATCTTCAACACAAGAATGTGGAAGCAATTTCAAACGGAGATTATAAAGAGGCAGGAAAATTCGAAGATTTAAAGAAGAAATTTAGTGATGCATGCGTAGTTTTTGAGACGAAAAAAGCTATAAGAAACGAAACAATCTCTATTAAGAATGATATTAGCGATCTGAAATTACAATTAGAAATCATTGAAAAACAATACCAGGAAAAGATCGATAAAGCCAAAGAAAAAGACAAGCAAGAGATTGACAGACTCAAGAGGTGCCATGAAGACGAACTGAAACAGTTTAATATATATTGGTCGAATCCAGAAAATACACTTGAGTTTGCAAAGAGTTCAGCCGAACTTAATGGCCTTAGAAAGAAGCAAAAGCTGCTACTGATCGTTAAAGAGTTCGAAGCTGCAGAAGCTGTGCGTGCAGAAGCGAGAAAATTAGAAAGAAAAGAATCTAACGATGCAAACAAGGCAATTAGGCAAGCAATGGAAACAAAGAGAGAAGCACTTGAACAGAAATTCGAAGCAGAGTTACTTCGCGTTAGACAACATTCAATTAAAATTGTTGAAGAATTAAAAATCCAACAGGCCAAAGAAGAAGCAATATTAATTGCAAGAATAAAGAAATTAGAGAATGATAAAGGAAATATTAGTGTGGCTCCTAGAAATAGAGATAAAACACCTGATAATGTTATATCCCCAAGATCAAGGGCAGTTATGAGCACTTTCAAGAATTCTACAGCTCCTAAACGTTTGATGCTTAAACCATTATCACCAGCTACACTGAAACCATCGAGACTTCAAATTTTGACCAAATCCAATGAAACGTTCGGATGATTCAACATTGTATCATATAATTATTCAAATTGTTATTAATAAAATATTGTTTTTAATGATTCATTCTTTTTGAATATGTTATTTCGAATGAAGATTATTTACATATAAATATTCAGGCAATTATATTGAAGGTATCTTTACTAAAGCTTATTTAATTAGATGAAAAAAGAAATCAAATTAGATTCTAATGAAAATCTCTAAGACGCTAATTTTTTTTAAAAAATGGTTCCGCTGGGGCTCGAACCCAAGACCTTAGCGTTATCAGCACTACGCTCTACCTACTGAGCTACGAAACCTTTGCGATTTATTTGAAAATTATAAACCAAAAATAAACTCTCAAATTTTCCATTGATTCTTCTTATTTGCATTGCCATAAAATATTTGTCATCTGAACTAACCTCAATAAGAAATAATGATTTTCCAAAGATTAACCTTTTTCCTTATATAAATCACTTTATCTTATTTTTACATTGAATATTCTAATTCCAAACTGTATAACCTTACAATGTTATACTAGTTAATGAATAAATTCTAATAACTATATATTCCTTTGCTCATTATTCATGAGCTTATTTTTCCACAAAGCAGTTATAATTTTCGAACATGGCATTTGATTATCAAAACAGTCTTAGTTTAGTTTGTATAAGAACTTAAATGAGATTATAAAACTAATAAAGAAAAAATTAATATTATTTTAACCCGATAAATATAATTTTAATCATCTTCTGCAGTTCTTGCGAAGTACATGGCTGCAAGCGCAGCATATTTGACCTTGTATGGTTCATGATTGTATGAGAAGCAATTCCAAATTCCTTCACATGTTGTTATGTTCACTGGTCTAACATGCATAAATCTTGGTGACCTATAGCAGCATGTAACCCAAACAAAGGTTGGAACATGATAAAGAGATTCACGAGTTGATACGGCTCTCATATCATGTAAACCATAATGAATAACAGTAACATTTGTAATGTTTTGGAATGAGTTTTCATCGGCAAAGAATTCTCCAAACGTTGTCATATTCTTGATTCCAATGCAGCGTCTGAATGCATTCTTAAACAAGTGAGAATCAATTTCAATTGAAACATTATAGAGATCTGTGCATGCTTCAAAAGCTCCTTCTCTAACTTGGGTGTTATTCCAGATATATACCTGCCTAATATCTGTTGACAAGAAGGATCCACGATTGAAGTTCCTCAGTGTATAAGGAAGCGTGAAATCGTGAATGTATGAAACAGCGAACGAAAATTCAGGCGCTGATCGGAATCCTTTAGCAATATCGAAGGTTTCAGTTTCCATTCCTGCAAATGTCCAATTTGCAATATTTGATAGTGATGAAGGAATCTGGAATTGAGGAATTATACATCCATAGAAGGCGAAGTTAGAGATAGCTTGGGTTCCAGCAGGAATTGTAAAGTTAGGAATGCTCAATAAAGCAAATGCATATGATGAAATCGAATCTATATACGCCGTTTTAGCTATTTCTATATATTGCATTGGACACTTATAAAATGCAAAACTACCAATACTTCTCAATGTACTTGGAAGTCTCAAATTGGTTACATTTGAGCTGTAAAAGGCAAAATCATTAATATATTGCAAGCCTTCTTTGAACAGCATATCATTTGCTGGAGTGAATCTAAATGCCAAACTTTCAATAGTTCGTAATGAAGCAGGAAATTCGAAATAGTTGATGATACTGTATTCAAAAGCTCGAGTTCCTATTATTTGTAGGCCTTCCGGAATGATTAATCTAGTAACCTTTGTAGATTGAAATGTATCAACACCAATACTTCGAAGTGCGGAAGGGACTTCAACAATTGTTGCATTGGTATATGCTAATGCTTGTGTATCAAAAATCGCGAAACTTCCTCTGAAAATATATTTTGTAATAGGAGTATATGAAAATGGCATCGTACCAAGCTCATATAATGTTTCAGGAAACTCAATCTCTTGCAAATTAGTATATTGGAAGCAATAATCTCGAATATACCTCAGACCATTCGTGAGATTAATATGAGTTAGCAATCCACAGTATGTGAATGTATATATTTCAATAGTTTGCACAGGACTTGGTATTGAAATATGCTCGATACTTGAATTATAAAAACAATATTCTCCTATTGTTGCGACATTCTTTGTTAAGTTAATTTCTTCAAGTGATGAGGAATAAAAGGCATATGAATATATATTTATTAAACCATTAGTTAGAGCTAATGACTTGATGCCTGCAAAATAAAAACATTTATATGGAATATCTTGAACTTTCTCTGGAATATTGGTGGATGGGAGCGCACAATATTGAAAGGCATGTTCACCAATTGAAGTTAAAGAGTCAGGAAGTGCCATTTTTTGAACCAAAGATCTATCAAATGCATAGGATCCTATTGTTTGTAATGTTGAGGGAATGATTATTTCGGTAATATTTGATTGCTGGAAGGAATAATCATCAAATGTTCTGATTCCATTGTTCAATGTGAGATTTGGCATCCTGCAGTTTATGAACGCATCTTCTTGAACTTCTCGTACAGTTGATGCAACTGAAATTGAGTCTAATATAGTATCACCATATTCACATTGGAAAATATAATATCTTCCTTCAGGAATGATAACATTTCTCATTGGCGTATTACCAAATGGATATGTACCGATTGTCATTTTTGATGTCATATTAATATCTTCGAGTTGGCTGTTATAAAAAGCATGTGTATTGATACTTGTAATAGTTGATGGCATATCGATATGCTTTAATGCACTTGCATAGAAGGCATAATCACTGATTGTAGTTACATTTTCTGGGAACCAAATTGTTTCAAAAGTTGTATATTGAAAACAATTTATTCCAAACCTTCTGAATGAAGCTGGGAAATTGAAAATTTTAATTGTAGAGTGATCAAAGCAATAATCACCAAAGGAAACAAATGTATCAGGCAAATAAAGATCTACCAAATAAGTATAAGCCATGCAGCTTGTACCAAATGATGTAACAGACCTTGGAATTGTCAGATTCTTAATTTTGCAATAATAGAATGAATATAATTGTATTGAAGTAACTGATAAGGGAATATTCAATACCAACAGATCTGAAAATGCGAACATATAATCTGTAATTGTTGTAACTCCATTTGGAATATCCCAGTGATTTAGCTTTGAAAATTGAAAACAATGCGTTCCAAAAGTAATTGTTTTTTGTGGGAAGAATGGATGTGCAATATCTGAGCCTTCAAAACAATAGTCGCCAAGAGATTGAATTGTATATGGGAATCTCACATAAACTAAATGACTGAATGCAAATGCATACTCCTTAATATATTTAATGTTTTCTGGAATTGTAAAAGATTCTAAGAAAGCATATTTAAATGTGTATCTTCCAAATGAAGTGATGTTAGAAACTCTGACATATTCAAAGTTTGATTCAGCAAGAGAATAATCATCTAAGGTTTTGAATCCATCAGGCAAAGAAATATTTTTGATTGGAGTGGCTCTAAATGCATACTGACCTATTTCCAACAGTGTTGAAGGTACAACCATATATGTTAGTTTGCTGTTATCAAATGTAAAATCAGAGATCAATGTCATGTTTTCTTGCAATGTAATGTCAATAATTCCACTATATGAAAATGCTCCTTCATCAATGTAAATTAGAGTCTTTGGTAATGTGATATAATGTAGCAAACAATAAGCAAAGCCATACTTAGTAATTCTGCTCATACCATAAATCAAGTTTACATCATGAAGTCGGCATCCAGCAAATGCATATTGACCAATGACTCTAAGGGTTGAAGGGAAATTAATGTATGTAAAAGCATAGTCATAGAAATATTTTGTATAACCATAGGTATTGATACCATCATAACCATTCTTTGCAAAACAGTAATCACCAATACTTTGAAATCCTTCGGGAAGAGTAACATTTGGGAGGAGTCCTAAATTCCAAAAAGTATATGCTCCAAGAGTTCTGATTGACTGAGGCAAATCAACTTTACTAATCAGTGTATCATTGTAAAATGCATAATTGCCAATTGAAACTAAAACACTTGAGAGTGTTAGCTGATTAAGAAATGTGCAATTTTGGAAAGCAGCATTGCCGATTGACGTAATCATTGTGCCTGTGGTCAGACAATTTGAAACACTAGTATTATAGTAGGCATAATTACCAATTTTCTTAAACTTGGAATGAAAAGTAGGCGTTGCTAGGCGTGTACAGTTGTAGAATGCATAATCAGGAATAATTGTAAGTTCGGAATTCAGTGGGAAGTAAGTTAACTGTTCACATCCATAAAAACAGTAACTTCCAATTTCTGCTATGTGAGAATCGATATTAATTGTCGTTAATCTGAAGCATCTTTTGAATGCACTGTCTCCAATGTATGTTAATGTTGAAGGAAGGCTAACATTTTGCAGGTTATCACATTCATAAAATGCACACGATTCAATTCTGGTCAATTTATCCTCAACATTAACAGAGGTTAAATATTTTGACCATCTGAAAGCATAGCTACCAATGTAAGAAACATTTCGAATCGTTAATGTATAAATAATATAATTAAGATGATAGTAGCCATAATAATAATTATAAGAATAATAATCAGGATTGTCAAAGCGAGAGCTACTTACGTTTCCATCAGAAAGCACATAATTATTATTATAGCTTTCCACACGTAGACTCATTCTTTTTTTTTGGAAATTTTTTAAAACCTTATTCACAAAAATCAAACAATATTGATTTGAAAACATAGGCATTGGAATTATACCATTAATTCGATTGAATGATTGTCAGAAAAATTCAGAAGGAGCGAATATCCATAGTAAAACCAATCAATATAAATTTGAATATAATGTTATTTATTAAATTATAATTCGGCTATTTATCGACCATTGGTGGTTTGAAATTACTGTAAAATTTTTTTTGACCTATCAACTTATTGCTAATATACATTCTTCCAAACATTTTATCAATATCAAATTATTAAGAGTAAAATATTAAGAAATTGATCGGCATTTTCATTACTCTTATTCTCAATCATAACATTATTTTTTGCATTGCTTGCATTATTGATTTTTTATAAACTAATTATACTAATAATCACTTATCTTAAATTGTTCAATATAATTTTCTGAGCTTCTCAATTTTATAAATTCAACAAAAATTTGGCTTCATATAAAATTAATACTTTAATTAATTTCTGTATTATTTCATCTTTAAAATTTTAAACTTATTCAATTTTTTTTTTCATTCAAATGACTGCAACTGTGAACACAACAGGATCTAATTATTTAATAAGAGATGGTATTGTTGCAAATTACAAATTTAGTGGTAATTCAATAATAGAAAATGCTACTTTCGTGAATGTTTCGTCATTAGGATTCCAATCTTTTTATTTTTGTGCCAATCTTAGAATTGTTATAGCACTCGATACTTTATTATCAATTGGAAGTCAATGCTTCAGTAATTGTCCAAAATTAGAACAATTAACTCTTCCTGATACGATACAATCAATTGGTGATAACTCATTTTCTTCATGCACAAGTCTCACAAGTATTGATTTACCATTGAATCTCAGTTCAATAGGTAGTCAAGCATTTTATTCGTGCTCAAAAATTAATTCTGCTACTTTCTCAGCATAGGATCATATGCCTTTAATAACCTTAATTCACTTGTAAGGGTAGACTTTATGTCAGATGTCAACACAATTGGCGCTAACTCTTTCAACGGGTGCTCAAGCTTATCTACCATTAATTTTGGAGGTTCTGCAAAGTACATTAATAGCTATGCTTTTGGATCATGCACATCAATTACAAAAATAAATATCTCATCAACCATTAATACAATTTCAAGTAACGCATTTTATTATTGTACCAAACTAGAAAGTTTTATTGCATCATCTTCAGTTAATTCAATTGAAAACAGGGCATTTAGTTCTTGCTCTAATTTAGCTCACTTATACTTTGCATCCACTGTTCAATCCATTAGTAACTCTACTTTTTACCAATTTGCCAAATTAGTAGATGTAGTATTCAATTCTTCGGTAGGAACCATAAATTCTAAAGCATTTCAAAGTTGCTCTTCATTAAATAGTGTAACATTTGCTTCTTCTGTAAATACAATTGGAACTAATGCATTTTCTAATTGCAACAAACTAGTAAATGTTAATTTTTTTAATGGATGCTCAACACTCGAAACTAGTGCTTTCTATGGATCAAAAATTTCCAATATTTATATTGCAGGGTCTATTTCAACGATCAGTAATAATTGCTTTACAAGCTGTACAATAGGAACAATAAATTTAAATTACAGTAATCTTCAAACTATTAATAGTTATGGATTCTATCAAAGTAGAATTGATAATATTTATTTACCTGCAACTCTATCAAGTATTAATTCATATGCATTTTATGGTTCCAATATTGGTAATTTTATAAGTTCAGGAGGGTCAGTTTACGCATCTGATCATGCATTTCAATCTAGCAGTATAACAAATGCAATTTTCCCATATATTAAATCAAGAGGTTCGTATGCATTTAGTTCTTCTACCATTTCAACACTAACATTTACTAATGACACAAATTCAATAATAGGCTATTTATTTTCTTATTACGATTATTATTCTTATTATAGTAGCACAATTAATAATCTAATGGTTCCAAGTTCAATTAAAACAATTGGTAGTTATTCATTTTATCAAACATCTTTATCACGTCTAACTCTCAGTGAAGGAATCCAAACAATTAACGATTATGCATTTTACAAATGCTCACTTAGGGAACTTACAATTCCAGATTCACTTCAGTATATTTATTCATATGCTTTTTATAAATGCCCAATATCAACAATAAATATTAATAATATTACAAGTAAATTAATCCAAATTGGATCATCTGCATTTAACGGGACATATATAAGTTCTATTCAACTACCACCATCATTTCAAAGCCTTGGTAGTTATGCATTTAGTGGAACATATATTAATTATCTTGGAATTTCAAATCAGACTTCTCTTGGATCATATATTATTTTTGGGAGCCCCATGACTTCAATAGAAATTCCTGATGGAATTACATCAATAGGTAGTTATGCATTTGCAAATAGCAATATTGTTTTTGCAAAATTGCCAACAACTCTTGTTACAATTGGAGATGGGGCATTTCAAAACACGCCACTAGTTAAATTAGTTTATTTCTATCATGGAAATTCAATCAACAGTTACGCTTTTCAGAATACACTTATTAGGAAAATAATAATCCCAGAAGGTATCCAATCAATAGGTTCATATGCTTTTAATAATTGCCCATTAAGAGAAATTAAATTGCCTAGTACATTAAAATATATAAACTCATACGCTTTTTATAATACTTCGCTTAGTGAAATTAACTTTCCTGCAAATCTTTATTCAATTGGTGAAAGTGCATTTCAATTAACATTTATCACAAGACTTGATCTACCATCGGGGTTATATTCAATTGGAAATAATGCATTCAGAAATCTTAGAATAACTGATGTGAATGTTCGAAATTCACTAAATTCTATTGGCTCAGGAGCATTTGCAAATACTTCAATAACCTCATTTTATCTCCCTGAAGGATTATCATCAATATCTTCAGAGCTTTTTAGAGACACATATCTGTCGAATCTTTCAATTCCAAGTACTCTGCGGTATATTAATTCAAACGCTTTTGCCAATACACCACTGAACCATATTGAACTTCCATCCGGTTTCTATCAATTATACGATGAGGCTTTCCGTGATTCAAATATTTCAAATATTTCTTTGAAATCTCTAAACTATATTGGTTCCGATGTATTTCGGAACTGTCCTCTCCAACAAATAAAGCTCCCAGATAATTTACAATCAATTTCTACGAGAACATTTCGATATTCAAATATTTTAAATCTTACAAATTCAAGAAACTTACAAATTATATATGACGATGCATTTGCATATTGTCCATTAGAATATATAGAACTTCCGGAAGGATTCACTACAATATATGATTTCGCATTTAGGTATAGCAATATCACTCATATCAAAGTTCCAAGTACCCTTAGTTCGGTTGGTTCTTATGCATTTTATTGTAGCAAACTAGAAGAATTCAATTATTCACAAAAAATTAAGTTTCAAGAGTATACATTTGCATATACACCAATGAAATATCTCGAAATTAAAGAAGAAATTGGAGTAATTTACAATTATTCTTTTGCTTATACAAATTTAACCGAATTAAAAGTACCAAGTTCAATTTATTATATTAATACTTTTGCATTTATGGGTAGCAAACTAAAGAATATCACTATAAATGCTACGGGTTTAACAACTATTGGTTATAGTGCATTTGAAAATAGTGGAATAGAATATGTTAACATTCTGTCAAATCTCTATGAAATTGAAATTAATGCATTTAGAAACAGTCATTTGATCAATATTACTCTTACTAATACGCTGTACAGATTTGGTTCGTCAGCATTTGAAGGAACTCATCTTGAATCATTCAATGTTCCAGATTCTATAGTCAATATTTCTTATTGCTTATTCACTCGCAGCACTTTAAAGCATGTATATTTACCTCCAACTGTGATTAGAATATTTGAATATTCGTTTAACGGTACTCAAATTGAAAATATTACATTTCCACCGAACATTTATCGACTAGATGAATATTGTTTAGCATACTCTAAATTGAAATATATTTCTCTTCCAAGTGGTTGCCAAGTAATTGATTCCTATGCTTTTTATGCAACTCCAATGACTGATTTATATTTAAATGATGGATTGACATATTTGGAAGATTATGCACTTGCAGGAACAAATCTTACCAAAATAAGATTCCCTTCTTCCCTTTATACAATTGGAGAATATTGTTTCCAAAACAGTGCTTCGACTTATATTGAGCTTCCAGAAGGTTTATACAAGATTGATTCTTATGCTTTTGCAAGCAGTAACTTGACTGTGCTAAATATGTCTTCTACAATTAATATAATATATGACTATGCGTTTGCAAATTGTCCAATGACAAATTTAACAGTTACTAATTATTGCCAAAGTATTGGAAATTATGCATTTGCTAATAGCAATTTAGTAAATATCACATTCCCCAATTCTTTAAGAAGCATCGGAAGTTATGCTTTTATAGGATGTCCATGCACAAATTTGTCTCTAAATCCTGGATTTTCATCATTATTATCAAATGCATTTACTTATAGTAATGTCAAATATTTATATTTACAAAGTATTAATCTAATAGATACAGAGGTATTTTATAACTCCTCTATTGAAATGATCAAGTTCCCAGCAATTTCTTCATTAGAAATTAGAAGATATGCATTTGCTTATTGCACATTACCAGATATTATCCTTCCATATGGTAAATATAGTATTGGAAAATTCAGTTTTAGAGGTACAAAAACTAAATTGCTTGTAATACCTTCAACAATGTCACAATTTATTAACTGGTCATTTGTTGGATGTATTGTTGATCAACTTAATATTCAAGAAGGCTTAACAACAATCCCAGAATTCTATTTCTCAATGAATGACTTCTACCACATTTCTCTTCCATCAACACTAAGATACATAGGAAGACATGCTTTCATGTGTGTTTGGATGAGCGAAATTTCAATTCCAGCCGGCTGCAATGTTTCCCACAAAGCATTTGAAAATTGTCAAAATCTCAAAAGAATTACTATTGGTGCCAATTGTATAATCAATGCTGGTGCATTCTTTATGTGCAATAATACTGAAGTTGTAACTGTATCTGAGAATATTGAATACACAGATATGGCATTTGGTGATCTTCAAAACATCTCCCTTATTTACACTGGCACTAATGATGTTACAGAACTTAATGCAACATTGAATTATCAACAAATTGCAGCAAATGTAACAGTTCCATGCAATTATAACAGCACAACATTTTGTGGAAAAAGAATTATAAAATCAGACTGCGATTCATGAAATTAAAACTTGCTCGTTTAGAAGTAAAACAATTTACAATAATAGTTTGTAAATAAAAATTTAATGCGTATTTTCAATTGAAAAAGATAAAAATATATTTTTAATATTATATTATATGTAAAATTGTTGCCTTCCCCAAATTGATTTCTTCAATAGAACATAGTTAAAATAGGGGTTACTTTTTAATGATCCGGTTCACTTCACTTATTTTGATAGAATTTACAACAGAAAAGAAATCTCAACCATTCAAAAAAGTGAAGTGAAACGGATCATAAAAAAGCCACACTCTCAATTTCACCGAAGAGTTTTCAATTTCGGGGGTCAGTGAACCGCCAATCACTATACAAGACTTCTAGAATAATTATGACCTCTATTGATAGCTTTTGTTCTGATTCTGGAGTATGGTAATGCATAGGCATTAATGTGTTTTTATTATTTTCATGGCAACAAATAAATTACACTAATCCAGTCTCCATATATATATATAAATATATATATAAAATCGAACAAAGATAATCTTTCACACCTTTGGACTCAATAAAAAGAAAAATTAAAACGAAGCAAATGAAAAAGCAGATTTAAACAAATGAGTTTCGATTTACATTTACTAAGATCGTTTTGGAGAAATAAAATTAATTTCAGATTTATTCTGTTATTTTCTTTTCAATTCCTAATTATATTTATGCTTATATTATGCATATGACTTTCCTTGATTATCAAGACAAAAAGAGCAAAGATTTTTACGGGCATAATCTTTGCTCGACGTTCGAACTCAATTTCTTGAATATTACTATCACAATCACAAATACAATTAGGTAACAATACAAATTTGACTTAAAAATAAATTTTTAGCAAATACTATCGTTTTGTTAAATCAGTTTCAGGAATTTTCATGCAAAAACATTATGATATCCAAAAATATCACGTATTTTTTTAATTAACAACTCTTTTGACAGTAATTTTCCGTGAGATTTTTTGAAAATATAACATTTAAGGTTATTTTGTGTCATTGCATCAAAATTTTTAATTAGGATTATGCAAATCACGTGTATATCATAAATACATGCATTTCATCCTATTAAACATGAAAAATAGCCCAGAAAAAGGATAATTGATGAAAAAAATTCTTTAGAACATTAGTTCATGGATGAAATAATAATATATAATGAAAACCACAGTCAAATTTATTACTTAAAAAAGCCAACGTTAAAATCAATCGAGTTTAAATTTAAATGAAAAAGTAATAAAATGTTAACATATATTTACTCGCATTAATAATAAAAGATAAATATGATTAAATTCAACATTTTTTGATAACGTTAATTCCGGCGTGTGGGCAATTTTAACGACATTTTTTAACGCGATACGAGCGTAAGTCCATAGAATGTGTTTTGAGGGAAACTATAAAAATCCAAAATAGAGGTAAGTGCGCCATTATTACCTGCGAAGTTACATGGAATAAATCGAAGAGTAAGTACAAGATGATCTTGCATCTTTCCAAGTAAATGAAATTTATTAAAATTAAGATGATAATATTCATTTATAGTATGTGTATGATGTGTTTTCAAAATTTCTTCAAATAAAATGCAATGATAATTTTTGAATAATTTTTTTCTTGTGTATATTTCATTTTTTATTAGTGAAAATATCATTACATCAATAAGGAAAGCACAATCCAAATTCATATTAGTTAAATTAATCTACGACCAAAAGTCCGCCAAATTTGAATTAAACACGTTTTTTGATAAAAGTGTCATTTATGATTGTTGCATTTAGGGATAGTAGCCAATTTCGGTACCAATCTTGAAAATGCCTCGCCATGCCCGCAACATGGAAGAGAAGTATTGGTCTGATATTGAAATCAATCAATGCAAACTGAATCACCTTGTCATGTTGCTCCCACAGATACGGCAGTCTGAGTCCCTCGCTTGGTCATGTTGCTCCACAGATACAGCAGTCTGAGTCCCTCGCTTGGTCATGTTGCTCCACAGATACAGCAGTCTGAGTCCCTCGCTTGGTCATATCACACCAGATAAATAAAAGTTCAGCTTCACAATACTTACCTGCTCTATTATGTGATTTTTTCCAACTATCATATGTTAGTTGTTGTATTGAAGTTGAGTATGAAAGAATAATGTTGCAAGATTTCTCACCAAATAAAAAATCATTAAAGAACATTTTATTCTTTGAAAATGTATTTATGTTGAAAATAATGGAAGATGTTATTCTTGTTAGTTAGTTTACGAAGTTCTTTTGGAAGAAATTTGTTGAATATCTTTATTTTGAATGGGAATGAACTTAGGAAATTCACCACGAGCTCTTGAATAGGCAGAATTGTAATGGATGATTAGCTATGATGGGATTATACGATGTTGGTTTGTTCTAGAATGATTAAAAAGTTTTCAGGTAATGTGCTGATGCATTACAAAAGATGGAAATTATTTAAATAATAACATAGTTTAATAATATTCAATTTAACTGATTAAATATTTGAAAAATTATCTAATTAGGATTTTTTTAGTTTGAAAAGTTAATTTTAGGCATAGTGTATAAAATAAAAAGCATCTACCGTGTCAGAAAATCGAAAAGTTTTCCAAAAAAATCATAAATTTCAAATTTTGAAATAAAAATTGATACTTTTTAATATGTAAAATAAGAAAATGTATTTTTTTTGAAAAATTTAGATAGAGTAGTTCTCTTTGTATCTAAGAGGAGTGAATTTTTTTTCTTTAACAAGATCTGGAAACGAACAATTGAAATTTATTTTATCAATATCAGGAGGAAAAGTTAAGATTCAATATGGGATTGGTTGGGTGTAAGGTAGAGGAACTATTGTGTGATAGTTGATGCTTAGAGTTGAAATTGAAGGAAAATAAAACGATAAAAATAAAATGAATACAACCATGGACCCGTCAGTAATAGGTAGTGAAGAGAATAAATCATCCTTACCTCATACAACAACTCATCCTTAGCTGAGACAACAAGTCATCCTTACCTCAGTCATTGACTCATCCTTACCTCAGTCATTGACTTATCCTTACCTCAGACAAAAACTCATCCTTACCTCAGTCATAGACTCATCCTTACCTCAGTCATTGACTTATCCTTACCTCAGACAAAAAGTCATCCTTACCTCAGTCATAGACTCATCCTTACCTCAGTCATTGACTCATCCTTACCTTAGTCATAGACTCATCCTTACCTCAGTCATTTACTTATTCTTACCTTAAACAATAACTCATCCTTACCTCAGACAACAAATCATTCTTACCTCAAACAATAAACATCCTTACCTCAGTCATAGACTCATCCTTACCTCAGTCATTGACTTATCCTTACCTCAGACAAAAAGTCATCCTTACCTCAGTCATAGACTCATCCTTACCTCAGTCATTGACTCATCCTTACCTTAGTCATAGACTCATCCTTACCTCAGTCATTTACTTATTCTTACCTTAAACAATAACTCATCCTTACCTCAGACAACAAATCATTCTTACCTCAAACAATAAACATCCTTACCTCAGTCATTGACTTATTCTTATCTAAGTCATTGACTCATAATTACCTCCGACATTTACTCATCCTTACCAGAACTTTACATTTAAATTCAAAATAATTTTATTATATTAAATTTTCAAAACCATATTTTAGTTCAATACGATTATAGATATAACTTTGTCAATAATGAATATTTTTGCGATTTGGCAACGAAATATGAATCTCCGGCCGGTGTAGATTCAGAATCACCCGGGAAAATCAGATTTTATTCGTGGGTATAAATTAATTAATATGTGAAATAATTATATAATAAGAGACGGATATCCAACACTCAGTCTCTCTCAGAGACATCCAACACTCAGTCTCTCTCTTTGACATCCAACACTCAGTCTCTCTTTGACATCCAACACTCAGTCTCTCTCTTTGACATCCAACACTCAGTCTCTCTTTGACATCCAACACTCAGTCTCTCTCTTTGACATCCAACACTCAGTCTCTCTCTTTGACATCCAACACTCAGTCTCTCTTTGACATCCAACACTCAGTCTCTCTTTGACATCCAACACTCAGTCTCTCTTTGACATCCAACACTATAATTTCTTATATATATTCCTTACGCATTCACATCACATTCTTCCTAATCATTTATTAAATTTTTTCCCTTTTTTTATAAATTTTAAATCTTTTTAATTATATTTTTTTTGATTTATTTCCTTATATTTTTAAATATTTTTATCTCTCTGTATTTCAGTTTAAAATCCGTTTATTATTTCAAATTCGCTTATGGCCCAGACTCCTAAGGACATGGTTCCTGATGAGACCCGCGAGCCTTTTTTTGTTGAAGAACCAAAAATCGAAGCAATTGATCCTTTCAAGTATATTAACTGTACCAACTACCTAGATTTGAACACAATTTCCATATTACTCAAAGAAATCGAAAAAAACATACTGGCTTACACACACACCGATATTGCTCAAGCTCTTAATGTTGTCGGAATTTCTTATGAGCAATTTCAAAAAATTCCTTGCTTTGTTTATATCAACTATTTCTCCAATCTTGCCATAAAAAGGCTTGATCTTTTGGAGATCATTATTTATACATACATTACAATATGGGAGTGTAATGATATGAAAATCTTTATTGACAATAATTTTGCTTTTTTTCTTTATGTGGTCGATAAATACTTAGACTTCCAGACAATTCAACAATGCAGTTTCTATAATTTGAAAGGTAGATCAAACATAAAAGATGATGTAAAAACAAATAAGCAAATGATTAATATATTATATGAAGATTTAATTACATGTTATCCATATAAATCGACAGCCAATCTAATATTACATCTTCTAAATGATGATACTACATATAACTTTTCGAATGTTGACTTTCGATTTCTTGATGATCACTTGCATATCGCTCATTTAGCTTTGCATTTCTCTGCCACAAATGTATTCAATCAGTTTGCACAGGGCATCAAAGATAAAAACTTTAATAATTATGTTAAAATTTACAACGGATCTTATTTCGACTTTGATCTTTTGAATGATGGAACTGTGCCCAAATGGATTTTGGCAGGATCAAACTGTGTCAATGCTAATATGCTTCCATTTTTGATTTCAACTCATGATTACATCGGATTTCTAAAACAAAATAATCTGAATGAAAGAAGAATTCAAGGGCAAGTATTACTTAACTGTGCAAAATATAATGAATTCCTTATTTTTCGTACATTTTTAAATAAGGATACCGCAAAAAGCTGTATCAAACATATAACAACGGCATCTGGCTTAGAAGCATTTTATCTGGAGACAATGTATAAAATGTTAGATATAAATTTTCTTAACAAATTATATGATACAGAATCATCGAATTATATTGGACTATATTCAAGGCTTTTATTTTTCGAATGCAATTCCAAAATACCTTATAAAATCAAAAATTTTGAGCTCACTGTTAACAAAAATAAATTATTGAATCCATTTCAAGTATACGAATTTTTAAGTTATTTACCGTCATTTTTGGAGATCAAAAATGCATCGGTTAAAGATCCTAAAACGGATTTATTTCGATACAGGATAGTATACAATTTTAAATATATAAAGGAAAGCTTAATTACCTCAACAAACAAAAAAACATTATTTGATATTGTCCTTGTTAAAGGGAATTTATTTTCAATTCAATTAAAAAATCTCCCTGAAGGCATGATGATTGACGAAGATTCATATCTTAAAATTCACAAATCAATTTTGCCATCCCCACAAACCAAAAATAAATTTCGTACGAAGTTAATTAAATATAATATAATTGACCGGCCAGAAACAGAAGACGAAAGAGATATTTATGATGAGTTAAAAACCCTTCCAGGACGTGTGCGAGTTCATTATTGTGATGATAATGAAACATATCAAATGTTTTGTCAAGGACATAGAGTCGAATGGGTCTCTTGGGTATCACCAATATCTGCGCAATTGCTTATGAATCCGAACTGCAAAATTCAATTGATTGAGGTCGACGCTACCTTCCCAATTGTAGATTATATTTTAATAGTCCCTCAAATAGTTATTTATAATACAGGGATTCCTATGGGCTTCTATGTTGGTCCATCCGAAAACGCAGAAGCTTACAAACTGTTTTTTGCCTCTTTAGAAAAATCTGGTGTTACAATCGAAAGAATCAGAGAAATTCCATTCCTTGGTGATTTAGGAACTGGAATTAAAAAGTTTGCAAAAGATAAAGAATTAATCATATGGGCTTGTATACGCCATGTGCTAAATCTACTGTCTGAGGGAAGCATGGTGGATGGCATGATCGAGGATACAATCAGAGCCATAAGGCAAGAGGATTATGAAGCGAAGGCTATTCAATATACTCAATTACTCGAAGAATGGCATAATGAAGGTGCGATTTCATCGAATGCCATTCAAAAATATAACAAATTTTGCATTAATAAAAAAGGAAAATTCTGCTTGTGTTTTAGGGAATGCCTTATTGGCCCATCCAATCATGCCGAAAGTTTCCATTTGCAATATCAAAAAATCTTAGAAAAATTTTCGGCAGGAAAATTTGATTTCAAGCTGATGATTCATCTCCTTTCAGATTATATAATGCAGAGAGAAAAGGATGTACCGAAAATTGTAAATACAAATGTTAGTCGAGAACTAAGCAACCAAAAGAAATATGCAAAACAGCTCTTGAATGTTCATCCTACATGCGGACAATGGTGCATTGATCAGGAATTGATTCTTAAGAGTAAGTTCGGTGTTAAATTTCCATGCATTCACGAAATTAAGAAAGACACTACTATTTCTCAACTAACATTGCCTCCTTGCATAGGATTATTTGAAATCGAAAGAAATGAAGCACAAAATCAATTTAAAGTATCTAACAAGTCAAATCCTAAAAATTCGAATCAAAATGATCAACAAACACAAATAAAAACAAGAGGAATGAATTATGATTTTTCATTGATGGATAGTATAGAAACCAGTGCAGCCGATGATATGATGGTTGCTTTAATTGCAAAACTTTATAGGATTTATAATATCCATTATGCAAGATCATTATATCTACAAATTGTTAATAATTTCAAGGGATTTTTAGACGCCGAGGATAAATTGCATTTCGTCCTTGAACTTGAAGATGATGAAAATTTTCGGAGCATTTTAGCATCGACAAGAAAAGATTACGAAGCATATAAGAATAAAAATCATTAAATTAAAGTATTTGTTTGAAATTATTGTTGGATGGGAAAGAGAGACTGAGTGTTGGATGTCAAAGAGAGACTGAGTGTTGGATGTCAAAGAGAGACTGAGTGTTGGATGTCAAAGAGAGACTGAGTGTTGGATGTCAAAGAGAGACTGAGTGTTGGATGTCAAAGAGAGACTGAGTGTTGGATGTCAAAGAGAGACTGAGTGTTCGATGTCAAAGAGAGAGACTGTCATAAGACGAAATGGCGGAAGTGAGGTGAAGTCAAAAAGTAACACATATTTGGCCGGCTAAATTCCCCTTTAGTTTACATGTCAAAATTACAATAAATTAATTATTTTGCTTAGCAATTAGCTATGTATTAAAACTAAAATTATTACTATTCAATTCTTTACATTCAAATATTAAACAATTCAAATTTAATAACAAAGATATTACAATAAATAAAAAAAATGATTAAAAATGTCCCTGAAAATTTTCTGAAAGCTATCTCGTGTTTAGGTCTCAATTTTTTTAGAAATAGAAAAAGATTGGATTTAACTTTCAAACATTATATATAGTTTTGTATATGGAAGCCTTTAAATACAAGTTAATGATATGGAGTTGTATTGCGAGGAAGAGGGAATCAAAGAAATTGACGAAGTTCCAGAATTTTATTCAACAATTCTTAATCAATTAACAAAAACTATACCGAAACTTATCTTACCATCCAAATCAAATCACATTACATACGGAATAAACATTTAACCTTTTACCATTAAAATTATATTTATACGTTATTTAATTTTTTTACGTCTAAGTTGAATAGGATAATAGCCGAAGATATAAAGTAACTATAGTTTACAAGCTAAGGAACAAATCAGCATTGAAACTAAAAAATGCTGAAATATTATAATAAATTGAAGAAATACTGTGATAGAATACCTAGTTATACTAGATACTATTATAATATGAATTCATTTGTATTGAATATCGATAATAAAAAATCGATGAAATATTAAAATGAGAATAAATTAATAATGAGATTATAAATTAGAATTATTTCTCTTTTATTTAAAATAAAAACTTAGTTCTATTTAAATTCGATAAAGAAGTACGAAAAAGTTGTATTATACGTATGATGTTGCCCGATGTTTGGTAACACTATTGTAGAATATAAGCATATATGATAGAAAAGCAATATGCTTAAGGGTGCACCCGTATGTACGTTTATTTGAGAGGAGGAGGATTACCCTCTCAATTTTGAGGGATTCGTTAGTTTATTTTCTCGATGAATGTGCAATAAAATTTGATTTTTACCTTATCAATATACTTCATATAATATACACATGTTCATGTAAAAACTTTTTTCCAAAATCCTCAGGAATTAAGGGATTTTTGAATTTTAAGAATTTTTTTCGAATTTTTTCGAAAAAAAAATATTTTCAGAACAGCCTTAACGGCTAAGATTTAGGAACAATGTTAAGTATCAAAAAGAAAGGAGGTCTGATATAGACAACATATATCGTTGAAGGTTGAAAAAATCTCTAATATTTGAGCCCAAAATTTCAAATTTTAATTTTTTGAAAAAAGAGGCCACCCGTATGTACGTTTATTTGAGAGGAGGAGGATTATATTTTTGAAAGGGTGAAACATTATAAATATGTTAATTATATAATAATATGTATTATTATAAAAAGAAAAATAAAGCACGTTAAAATTTTTCTTTCTTGATTTTTACAAAATCTACTTAGAATTATGCAAAATATGACTAAATAATTATAAATTTCAAGTTAAATTTTAATTTTGATAAATAATTTAAATTTCAAAATATCAAGTTCAGTTCGACTATGTATGTAATTAGGGTTGTACAAACTGGCACAATTTTGCGGGCCGCCTGCCAGGAGCTGGCACGCGGCCAAAATCAAAAAAGTGGCCAAAAATCGGGCCTCGTGGCGTGGAAAGGATGTCGCCCTTCGGGCTCCACCCTTTCCACGCCACTCGGCCTATGACCACAATTATATAATATGCTCATTATTATTTTTTTCTTCTTTTCTCTTCTTTTTTTCTTTTTCTCTTTTCTTTCTTCTTTTTCCCTTTTCCCTTCCTTTTTTTCTAGTTTTGGAAAGGAAAAAGTAAAAAATTTAATAATTAATTTTATTACTATGAAAATATACTTTTTAGCTTATATTGTAAGCTGTGAGAGTTTTAAGTGATGGAAGATATAAATCAAATTTGAAATTCAACAAATCTTGTTATGATTAAGTTGAATATTGTACTCTAATTAAGAGTTTTCAGTTATGAACTCAGGTATTATATAATAAAAGTATAACTCAAGATAATAAAGAGGTTTTTAAAATGTAGATCTGAAAATCAAACTACCATGTTTGATATGATTAAGTTGAATAATGTTATTTTATTAAATGGTTCAAATCTGTGAAATCGGCAATTACAAATTAAAGGCGTAGTTCAAAAAATTAAAGAGATTTTAAAAATTTAATATCAGAATTAAACTAAAAAAAGGATTTAGTTATTTCAGTAATTATCAGAAAAGGTTAAAAAGATAGGGTAAGTAATGAGACTTGAGTGAGATGTGAGAAATCATATGTAAATAATTAGATATCTGATGAGTAAGGTAGTAATGAGAGTTAAGATCTGGTTAGTAAGGTAGTAATGAGAGTTAAGATCTGGTTAGTAAGGTAGTAATGAGAGTTAAGATCTGGTTAGTAAGGTAGTAATGAGAGTTAAGATCTGGTTAGTAAGGTAGTAATGAGAGTTAAGATCTGATGAGTAAGGTAGTAATGAGAGTTAAGATCTGGTTAGTAAGGTAGTAATGAGAGTTAAGATCTGATGAGTAAGGTAGTAATGAGAGTTAAGATCTGGTTAGTAAGGTAGTAATGAGAGTTAAGATCTGGTTAGTAAGGTCGGAGAGTTAAGATCTGATGAGTAAGGTAGTAATGAGAGTTAAGATCTGGTTAGTAAGGTAGTAATGAGAGTTAAGATCTGATGAGTAAGGTAGTAATGAGAGTTAAGATCTGGTTAGTAAGGTAGTAATGAGAGTTAAGATCTGGTTAGTAAGGTAGTAATGAGAGTTAAGATCTGGTTAGTAAGGTAGTAATGAGAGTTAAGATCTGGTTAGTAAGGTAGTAATGAGAGTTAAGATCTGATGAGTAAGGTAGTAATGAGAGTTAAGATCTGGTTAGTAAGGTAGTAACGAGAGTTAAGATCTGGTTAGTAAGGTCGGAGAGTTAAGATCTGGTTAGTAAGGTAGTAATGAGAGTTAAGATCTGGTTAGTAAGGTCGGAGAGTTAAGATCTGGTTAGTAAGGTAGTAATGAGAGTTAAGATCTGGTTAGTAAGGTCGGAGAGTTAAGATCTGGTTAGTAAGGTAGTAATGAGAGTTAAGATCTGATGAGTAAGGTAGTAATGAGAGTTAAGATCTGGTTAGTAAGGTAGTAATGAGAGTTAAGATCTGGTTAGTAAGGTAGTAATGAGAGTTAAGATCTGGTTAGTAAGGTAGTAATGAGAGTTAAGATCTGGTTAGTAAGGTAGTAATGAGAGTTAAGATCTGGTTAGTAAGGTAGTAATGAGAGTTAAGATCTGGTTAGTAAGGTAGTAATGAGAGTTAAGATCTGATGAGTAAGGTAGTAAGAGAGTTAAGATCTGGTTAGTAAGGTAGTAACGAGAGTTAAGATCTGGTTAGTAAGGTCGGAGAGTTAAGATCTGATGAGTAAGGTAGTAACGAGAGTTAAGATCTGGTTAGTAAGGTAGTAACGAGAGTTAAGATCTGGTTAGTAAGGTCGGAGAGTTAAGATCTGGTTAGTAAGGTAGTAATGAGAGTTAAGATCTGATGAGTAAGGTAGTAATGAGAGTTAAGATCTGGTTAGTAAGGTAGTAACGAGAGTTAAGATCTGGTTAGTAAGGTCGAGAGTTAAGATCTGGTTAGTAAGGTAGTAATGAGAGTTAAGATCTGATGAGTAAGGTAGTAATGAGAGTTAAGATCTGGTTAGTAAGGTAGTAATGAGAGTTAAGATCTGGTTAGTAAGGTCGGAGAGTTAAGATCTGGTTAGTAAGGTAGTAATGAGAGTTAAGATCTGGTTAGTAAGGTCGGAGAGTTAAGATCTGGTTAGTAAGGTAGTAACGAGAGTTAAGATCTGGTTAGTAAGGTCGGAGAGTTAAGATCTGGTTAGTAAGGTAGTAATGAGAGTTAAGATCTGGTTAGTAAGGTAGTAATGAGAGTTAAGATCTGGTTAGTAAGGTAGTAATGAGAGTTAAGATCTGGTTAGTAAGGTAGTAATGAGAGTTAAGATCTGATTAGTAAGGTAGTAATGAGAGTTAAGATCTGGTTAGTAAGGTAGTAATGAGAGTTAAGATCTGGTTAGTAAGGTAGTAACGAGAGTTAAGATCTGGTTAGTAAGGTCGGAGAGTTAAGATCTGATGAGTAAGGTAGTAACGAGAGTTAAGATCTGGTTAGTAAGGTAGTAATGAGAGTTAAGATCTGGTTAGTAAGGTCGGAGAGTTAAGATCTGGTTAGTAAGGTAGTAATGAGAGTTAAGATCTGATGAGTAAGGTAGTAATGAGAGTTAAGATCTGGTTAGTAAGGTAGTAACGAGAGTTAAGATCTGGTTAGTAAGGTCGGAGAGTTAAGATCTGGTTAGTAAGGTAGTAATGAGAGTTAAGATCTGGTTAGTAAGGTCGGAGAGTTAAGATCTGGTTAGTAAGGTAGTAACGAGAGTTAAGATCTGGTTAGTAAGGTCGGAGAGTTAAGATCTGGTTAGTAAGGTAGTAATGAGAGTTAAGATCTGATGAGTAAGGTAGTAATGAGAGTTAAGATCTGGTTAGTAAGGTAGTAATGAGAGTTAAGATCTGGTTAGTAAGGTAGTAATGAGAGTTAAGATCTGGTTAGTAAGGTAGTAATGAGAGTTAAGATCTGGTTAGTAAGGTAGTAATGAGAGTTAAGATCTGGTTAGTAAGGTAGTAATGAGAGTTAAGATCTGGTTAGTAAGGTAGTAATGAGAGTTAAGATCTGATGAGTAAGGTAGTAACGAGAGTTAAGATCTGGTTAGTAAGGTAGTAACGAGAGTTAAGATCTGGTTAGTAAGGTCGGAGAGTTAAGATCTGATGAGTAAGGTAGTAACGAGAGTTAAGATCTGGTTAGTAAGGTAGTAACGAGAGTTAAGATCTGGTTAGTAAGGTCGGAGAGTTAAGATCTGGTTAGTAAGGTAGTAATGAGAGTTAAGATCTGATGAGTAAGGTAGTAATGAGAGTTAAGATCTGGTTAGTAAGGTAGTAACGAGAGTTAAGATCTGGTTAGTAAGGTCGGAGAGTTAAGATCTGGTTAGTAAGGTAGTAATGAGAGTTAAGATCTGATGAGTAAGGTAGTAATGAGAGTTAAGATCTGGTTAGTAAGGTAGTAACGAGAGTTAAGATCTGGTTAGTAAGGTCGGAGAGTTAAGATCTGGTTAGTAAGGTAGTAATGAGAGTTAAGATCTGGTTAGTAAGGTCGGAGAGTTAAGATCTGGTTAGTAAGGTAGTAACGAGAGTTAAGATCTGGTTAGTAAGGTCGGAGAGTTAAGATCTGGTTAGTAAGGTAGTAATGAGAGTTAAGATCTGGTTAGTAAGGTAGTAATGAGAGTTAAGATCTGGTTAGTAAGGTAGTAATGAGAGTTAAGATCTGGTTAGTAAGGTAGTAATGAGAGTTAAGATCTGATGAGTAAGGTAGTAATGAGAGTTAAGATCTGGTTAGTAAGGTAGTAATGAGAGTTAAGATCTGGTTAGTAAGGTAGTAACGAGAGTTAAGATCTGGTTAGTAAGGTCGGAGAGTTAAGATCTGATGAGTAAGGTAGTAACGAGAGTTAAGATCTGGTTAGTAAGGTAGTAATGAGAGTTAAGATCTGGTTAGTAAGGTCGGAGAGTTAAGATCTGGTTAGTAAGGTAGTAATGAGAGTTAAGCTCTGGTTAGTAAGGTCGGAGAGTTAAGATCTGGTTAGTAAGGTAGTAACGAGAGTTAAGATCTGGTTAGTAAGGTCGGAGAGTTAAGATCTGGTTAGTAAGGTAGTAATGAGAGTTAAGATCTGGTTAGTAAAGTAGTAATGAGAGTTAAGATCTGGTTAGTAAGGTAGTAACGAGAGTTAAGATCTGGTTAGTAAGGTCGGAGAGTTAAGATCTGGTTAGTAAGGTAGTAATGAGAGTTAAGATCTGGTTAGTAAGGTCGGAGAGTTAAGATCTGGTTAGTAAGGTAGTAATGAGAGATCTGCGGGCAGTAATGATACATCTATGAGTACATAACTAAAACCTGAGTTCTATGAGCGAAATCTGAGAGCTAAAAGCCGAGAGATCTAAGGTAAGTAATGAGAGAAGAGAATTTGAAATTTTACAAAATACGTTTACTCATACAAAAGAATTCGCATTCTTTTATAACGAATCTCAATGCCAATTAATACATAAAACAGATTTTAGCAATCAATTGCAAGATTTATAAAGATTTGATTTATAATCTCAGCCAAATTAACAAATATTTTATTGATTTCGTAAAAAATAGCAATAAAACATAAAAATATGACATTCTATTTTTCCAAAAAAATTTCAAAAATCATTTTTTAACATGAAATTTATATTTTTTAATTTTTTTTTTAAATTTTGAATTTTTTTTGGAATTTTCAACCATGTCAAAAGTCGGGATCTACAAATGTATTCTCTTTGACATAGGATAAAAACATCCTTTCTTATAATTTCATTGTAAAATAAAATTTTCTTAAATTTATTGAATCCAAACTCAACTTTGCAACATTTTATTATCATAAAAACTAAGAAACATCAGGTAAACTTCAATTTGGAGAGCTTAAAATCATATCTAAATTGAAAAATAAGGGGAAAAAATTGTAAAAAAAAATCTCATTAGATGGGGCAAAAAGTGACTTTTTTAATGTGTTTTTTAAAAAAATCGTGCCAGCTGGCCAAAAAAGGTGTGCCAGCAGGCGTGCCAGTTTGTACAACCCTATATGTAGTAATTCCTCAATAAAGTGCCAAAACCCTATTAAAATATATGAACATTTTCAACATTTTAATGTTTTTATTTAAAAATTTGATGGAATATGAGCTTCAAACAATTATTATGTAAATAAAAATAATTAAATATATGTATTTATTCGTATTACAACCGTAGTAAGTCGATTCTTCCTTTCTTCTACTGAGTTTTGAATTTGATTTCGAATTGTAAAGAGATTCAAAGGGAAAATACTAGCGGATAAAAACTACCTCCATGAAAGGGTCATAATGGACTCAAGTTGTATTTTTTGATATTTTTTGCTTTTCGAGCCTAAATAGGTAGCCAAGATAATGCCTAAAAATAAGGTTCTAAATTCTGAAGTTTACATGATCCTCTCATGTGCACCCTTAATATCGAGTAATTCTAATTTTTTACGAAATTATTCAAATACGTTATTTTTTAAAATGAAAAGATAAGCATACCATTATGCAGTAGTTTGCGCACATATACTATGCTGATGAAAGTTGGTCTCTAATTCGAAACTTGAGTCTGTCAAATTGACGTTCCATCTTATTTTAATCGATATTCAATACAAATGAATTCATATTATAATAGTATCTAGTATAACTAGGTATTCTATCACAGTATTTCTTCAATTTATTATAATATTTCAGCATTTTTTAGTTTCAATGCTGATTTGTTCCTTAGCTTGTAAACTATAGTTACTTTATATCTTCGGCTATTATCCTATTCAACTTAGACGTAAAAAAATTAAATAACGTATAAATATAATTTTAATGGTAAAAGGTTAAATGTTTATTCCGTATGTAATGTGATTTGATTTGGATGGTAAGATAAGTTTCGGTATAGTTTTTGTTAATTGATTAAGAATTGTTGAATAAAATTCTGGAACTTCGTCAATTTCTTTGATTCCTTCTTGAAGCGTTGAAATTTCTTATTGACTCTCTTAGATCTTTAACAACTCCATCTACAATCCAAAGCGGTAATTTACTTGAATCATATTTTTCTGAAATTTCGTAAAATTTGTTAGGTGTGTACCATGTATGTAATGTCGGGTTTTTTGGTAAACTTGTGTGTGGGTTTGAATTGTAATTTTCTATAAGACTTTGTATATCATTCCATGTGGCGTCTTCAATTTCCACATTTTGCCAAAACCTTTCAATTTTCCCATTCATATATGGGCAATGTGGGAGAATTGTAATACTTTGAACGTTCGCATTTTGTAATAAATTTCGAAAAACCCCAAAATTTTCTGTTCCGTTATCACTCCATATAGCAAAGGGCTTCCCATATTTTTGGAAACATTGGTCAATTACTCTACTTGTTTGCGCAGCTTCTTTTGTTTCCAAGTGAGCCCATGCTAAAATTTTTCGGGATTTATCGTCAATAACCGCATAAAGATATTCACCCTGACGATGTTTAAAAAAATGAATATCGACATGCCATATTAAGTTTATATATACTGCTTCGTATTTTGTTTTTCCTTTTGGTACTGAATTTTTGGCAGGTTGAACGATATTCAGAATTTTGAAACACTTCTTTACAGTTCTTTCTGAAAAGTTTGTTTCCAATAATTTTTTGTTAAAATAATCGGTTGATTTTTCCAAATTTTGAGTAGTTTCTGTATGAACGATATATGGATCTTCAGATAATTCCGACTCAATTTGTGGATCTTCTTCGGAAGAATTGGAAGAAAAAAGTTTTTCTGCTGATGAATCAGAATCAGAATTTGTATACTCAGAAAGATATTCTGAAGAATTTGAAAAACCTATTGGATTTGTATTTAATTGTGAAATTGGTAAATCATCTAAATCATGATTAGCATTTTCGGTTTCCCTTTGAATTAACATATCCTTATCGGTAATAATTCTTCCGTATGCTCTTGATATTCCGATTTTTTTAACTTTTTGATGTAATTTATTTACTGTATCTAATAATTCCTCAGGTGGTTCGATTGGTTTACGCCCTGGTTTAAATTTTGTGTCAGGAATTCCATTTGATTTAATTGCTAAGTGGAATGTTTTTTTAGATATTGATGGTATAATGCGTCCATCAGTGAGTTGGACATTGCTAAGTATTGTTTTGAGTTTTTGACCTTGATTAATTTGTTCAATTGCAGATTGAATCCAATTTATATCAATTAGATCGTAGATCTTTCGACTCATCTGAAATTTTATAACTTTTGAAAGAAACCGTAAAAATTGTGAAACATGCTTTTTAATAAAAAACAATTTTGATGAAAACCATAAATTAATTTAAAATTGAAATAAATTTTTGAAATCTATGATATTGAATAAAAAAATTTATAGTGTAGATATTGATATAGATATAGATGTTAATTTTAATATGATATTTGATAAAATTTTTTTATCAAAACATACTGATAATAGGTTGACATGTAATATGATATTTGGCCTTGTAAATATATTTGGTCGGCAAAATAACCTAATTACTCTTATTTTGAGTTCACTTCCACCATTTGGTCTTATGATAAGACTGAGTGTTGGATGTCTCTGAGAGAGACTGAGTGTTGGATGTCAAAGAGAGACTGAGTGTTGGATGTCAAAGAGAGACTGAGTGTTGGATGTCAAAGAGAGACTGAGTGTTGGATGTCAAAGAGAGACTGAGTGTTGGATGTCAAAGAGAGACTGAGTGTTGGATGTCAAAGAGAGACTGAGTGTTGGATGTCAAAGAGAGAGACTGAGTAAGACTCTACAGACTCTTCTTGCCAAGTTCACTTCAAATGGCTCACAATTGGTCATATGTTGGTGCTCAAATTGACCACGTTGATCTAGAAGAATATGTAACGAAAATCCCAGATTATTACTTCTCATTAGGTGATTTCTATTCTTTCTCTCTACCTACGACAGTTAGATACATTGGTGAATATGCATTCTTGTCATCATGGATGAAAGAAATAACAATCCCTGCTGGATGCAATATTTCACGATATGCATTCCATGATTGCAAAGCATTGAATAAGATAACTATTGGTACAAATTGTATCATCCATAAAGATTCATTTAACTTCTGCAATAACACAAAAGTCATCGAAGTTTCCGATGGAATTACTTACAAAGATATGGCATTTGGAGATCTTGCAAATATCAGTTTAATTTACACAGGAACAAACGACATCACTGATCAAATGACAATAGATAACTATAAACAGATTGCAGCAAATGTCACAGTTCCATGCAGCTATACATCTTCAACATTTTGTGGAATTAATGTTATCAAAAAAGATGAATGTTCAGAAATATAACTTTTTATTTATTTTTATTATTTTAATGCGCGTAAACATTTTTATATTTTTCATTAATTACAATGGAAAAGTAGATCTCGAACGATAAGCATTCAATCATTTAAGAATAATTTTCAATATTTTTTCACATAATTTTCAATTTTGAATTAGATATACCGTTGAAAAAAATTCAATTTATAACGTAAAATTATTTTAATTATATCTATTCTTGAGAAAAACATTGCAGTCAAAGCACAAAATTTTACGGAGTATAAAGTTTTATTATATGATAAGCAGTTTCAAGGAACATGGATATTAGAATACCAAGAAATTGTCTCTGGTTGTTGTATTACTAGTATCATATAGACCATAGAACAGATAAAATTTGGTCTTTAAGAGTAGTAGGGATAACTCTGACGCATTTTCTAGATCATCCTGATAGTATCTAAGAATTTGGCTCATATACATTGGATAATTCAAATATAAGTGATTTAAAACCTCCCAGTGGATTAAGAAATATACATAATCGGGCTTTTGAAAATTGCCCTATTAATAATATCACACTTCCATATGGATTTTATTATATTACATCCGAAGCATTTATGAATTCAAATATCATTAATATTCGGTCGAAACAAATGCATTTGCTTATTTCTCAGTTGAATATGTTGGTTTTTTCGGATACTATGAGCTCAATTAGTAATTATGCGTAAATTGTAAAATCACTAATATTACCACATCAATAACAATTAGTTCTTTTGATCAAATGCATTTGCTTATTTCTCAGTTGAATATGTTGATATTTCGGATACTGTGATTTCTTTTAGCAATTATGCGTAAATTGTAAAATCGCTAATATTTCAATACCAAGTTTCTAGTATCAGCAGTTATACTTTCAATAGAAGCACTTTGTAATCAATTACATTCGAAGGTCCAATATCATTTAATGAATATGCATTTGCATGAATCACATTAAAAGATTTGAAATCATTGATGATGTTACTCAATTATATAGATATGGAAGAATTAATAATTCCAAATTCAGTTACTTCAATAGGGGAGTTTGCATTCTCTTATAGCAAATTACCAAACATTACATTACCAAATCAATGCACAGTTATAAAATTCGAAATATAAATATATAAATCATTTATTAAAAAAATAATGATAATCCGCATAAAATAATGTGTTATAATTATAATTAATCATCTTCTGTTCTAGAGAAGTACATGGCAGCAAGAGCTGCATATCTAACAGAACTTGATGGTTTGTTATATGAGAAACAGTTCCAAATTCCCGTGCATGATGTCATATTGACTGGACGAACTTTAAGGAACTTTGGAGATCTGTAACAGCATGTAACAAAAACATTGCTTGGAACACCAAGCATATTTTCTCTTGTTGTTGGATTTCTTATATCATGCAATCCAAAGTGGTAAATTGTTGCACTTGTAACATTTTGGAATGAGTTATCTTCTGCAGTGAACTCACCATATGTTGTTATGTTTCTTAATGAATAACAACCTTTAAATGAATATCCACGGATTCTGGAATCAATTTGAATTGTCAAATTGGTCAAATAAGTGGAATATTCGAAAGTATTATTGAATATCTGGGTGTTATTCCAAATGAATACATCTTTCATCTCTGAAGAAAGGAAAGAATATTGGTCGAAATATCTTAATGAGACAGGAAGTTTGATATCTTTAATATGAGACATAGCAAAAGAGTATTCATCAGATTTTGTGATTCCTTCTTCTAGTTCAACAGATTTAGCCAACAATCCTGTGAAAGCGAATCTTCCAATCTGTTCAACTGTCTTAGGAACAAAAAGTTTATCTATGCATGTTCCTTTGAAGGCAAATTCATTAATTACTTTTGTTCCATTAGGGATTGTGAAATTATAAACTTTCATATAACTGAAAGCATAAGTTCCGATTGTTTCGATTTCGGCATTTTCTGGTAAAACAATATTCAAAATTCTGCAATTGAAGAATGCCCAGTTTCCGATGTATTTCAAGGTACTTGGGAGTACAACTGATTCAACTTTTGAATAATAGAAGGCATTATCATTAATATTTTGCAAACCTTCTTTGAAAACCATCTCTTTACATGGCGTATAACCAAAAGCATAATTCTCAATTGTTTCCACAGAACTTGGAAATTCAAAGTGTTCAATTATACTGTTATAGAATGCATAACCATTAATTGTTTGCAATCCTTCAGGCAAAACCAATTCTGTCACTTTATTGCTTGAAAAGGCATAAGAACCAATAGAATAAAGTGACTTGAATGTAACGTTTTCTATTTTGCTACTTGACAAAGCATTTGAATCTAAAGTTCTGAAATTTTCTTTGAATTCCAATTTTGTAACATTACTATTTCTGAATGCATAGCTACCAACACTTACAAGAGAATTTGGAAGCTCAGGACTTTCCAATCTAGTGTATTCGAAGCAATTGTTATATATATCTCGCAGGTTCTTTCCAAGAGTTATGCGTGTCAAGTTACTATAAGCGAATGTACTGGAACGTAAAATAGTCACTGGATCAGGAATGTTTATTTTTTCCAAAGGAGTTTGATAAAAACATTCTTCACCAATATAGTTTACATTACGTGGCAAAACAATGTCGTGAATACGTGATTGATAGAATGCTTGATAGTTTATTGTAGTCAATGAGTTTGGAAGAGTTATTGATTGAATTTTCGATGTATAGAAGCAGTAATCAGGGATTGTTGTTACACCTTCAGGGATGTTTATTGATTGAAGTGTACAAGATTGAAAACACCAAGTTCCTAAACTCCTAAGTGTGTCAGGAAATGTCATTTGAGATAATTTACAATTATAAAATACATTATCATAAACAGTTGTTAAAGAATTGCTGTAATAAATTGTTCCAATATTAGCAGATGAGAATGCATATGAAGAAATAGTATTCAGTCTACTTGACATGTAAATTTCTTCAGATCTTGAATTTGAAAAACAATATGATCCAATAGATGTGATAGTATTGGATAATCTGACAATAGAAATGTTTGATTTATACATTGCATAGCTACCAAGAGATTTCAAGCCTTCATTTAATTGTAACTCTGGTAATGTGCAGTTGTTAAATGCATAACTCTCAATAGTTCTAATTGTACTTGGAATAGTGAGTGATTGTAAAATTGTGTCACCATATTCATATGAACTTATTGTAGTCTTTCCTTCAGGCAGAACAAGATTTTTCATTGGAACATTTCCAAATGGATAGTTTCCAAATGATGTTTTATTGTTCATATCAAATGTTTCAAGTTGGCTGCCATAGAATGCACGTTCACCAACACTAGTAATTGTTGATGGAACATTGATTCTTTTCAACTTTGAATAGTAGAATGCATGACTATTGATTGTAGAAAGACCTTCTGGAAGAGTTATTTCTTCAAATTCTGTATATTGAAAACAATAACTTCCAATGCTTCTGAATCCTGCAGGTAATTCAAGAGATTCAACCTTTGAGTATTCGAAACAATAACTACCAAAAGTTGTTACTGTATCTGGAATATAGAATGATTTAAATTTAGAATGAGAAAAGCAGTATGAATCAAAAGTAGTTAAACCAGGTGGGAAAGTAATGTTCTGAACATTTGTGTATGCAAAGCAGTAACTACTCAATGTGGTAACTTGTGAAGGAATTGTAACATTTTCTATCTTTGAGCCATAGAATAAACCTTCAGGAAGAATTGTAACTGTATCTGGAATTGTAACATGCTTGATGTCAGAGTTTGCAAACATGTAACTAGGTAAATCAGTTTGTTGATCAGGAAGATCAATATGATTTATATGAGAACTGTCAAAGCATCTGTATCCGAATGAAAGTGGCTTGTTCGGAAAGAAAATCTTGCAGATATCAGATGATTGGAAACAATATTGACCAAATGATTCTATTGTATATGGGAACTGGATGAAAACTAAGTGGCTTTGTGCAAAGACATAGTCTTGCATTGATGAAATTGGCTCTGGAACAGTGAATGTCTCAAGGAATGCTCTTGCAAATGAATATTTACCTAACAATGTGATATTCGAAATGCGGCAGTATTCCAAGTTTGATTCAGCAAAGCCATAGTCTTCAACTTCTTTGAATCCATCTGGAAGAGACATGTTTCTAAGTGGACAACCACCAAATGAATATGCACCAACAGATACTAGTGTACTTGGGATTACAATTGCATTCAATTTACTATTCTGATAAGTGCGTGGATAAATTCTTGTTGTTCCTTCATTCAGTGTGATGTTTACTAACCAACTGTTCTGGAATGCACCCTCTAAGATATCAAGTAGAACAGGTGGAATGGTAATGTAGTTTAGCCTGCACAATGCAAATGAATATGGATCGAGTTGTTTGATCGGATCAGGAATGACAACATCGTGAAGTTTACAATAACCGAAAGCAAATCTTCCGAAATATTTGATTGTGTTCGGAAAATTGATGTAACTGAATGCATAATCATCGTACATATAAAGATAATCAGGATATCTTGTTCCTTCACAGAAGGCATAGTCACCAATATGCTCGAAGCCTTGTGGCAAAGTCACATTAGGTAATTTCGTGAAGTTGTAGAAGGCATAGCTATCGATGTAAGTTAAATGTGGTGGTAAATCAAGCTTAGTAACGATTGAATTGTTGGCAAATGCATGATCTCCGATCAGATTTAATGTATCGGGAAATGTGATTTCATCAAGTAAGGAACAATTCTCAAAGGCCGAACCACCTATCGTTTCTACTCGCGTATTGGCTAGTAGACACTTTGTAAATGTGTTGTTGTAGAATGAAAAGTTTCCGATTTTTGTCAGGGTACTCGAAAACGCTGGGCTTTGCAAGCTAGTACAGTTCCAGAAGCAGTAATCAGGTATGGCGGTGAGTTCTGGGTTAAAAGGAAAAGATTCCAAACTCGAACAATTATAAAAGCACTTTTGACCTAGTTCGCGTAGTGGAGCATCCATATAAATCGATTTTAATGCAATGCATTGAGAAAATGCATTTTCACCAATTGAAATTAGTGTATTTGGAAAAGTTATATTTTCAAGCTTATAGCAATTATAAAAAGCGTATGAATTAACAATTTTGAGTACATCCTGAACTTTAACAGTCTTTAAATTATAACTATTACGAAAACCATAGTTTCCAATGATCGACACATTTCGAAGTATTGCAATGACCATAGAGCTACTATAAGAAAATTGACTCTCACTAACTACTCCATTATAGATACTGCATTCACCCGTATAGTAGCAATTAGATCCCGCACTCATTGATCTGAATTTTGACCGTGAAATTTTGAAATTGTTAATTTATTAATAATTGATATAATTTAAATAACATCCTAATGTAATTAATTAGAGTTTTGATATAAATTTATTGAAATTCATTTTTGACGAATAATAACCTTATTGAAGTCATATGCATTATGTAATGATTTAAATAAAGTATACGAATATATTTTTTTTGGCCACTATAACCTTTACTTTTTGAATAAGTTATTAGAATTTTTTGAAAGATGTGATTCAATTTATAATTTGATCTGAGTTAATAGATATTATATATTACACTAAAGTAATTTTACACATAATAATGATTTTAATATTGGATCAAACTGTAAAAAAATTTGAAAATCAATATTCACTAATGATATCGAGATAATTGATAATCTTATGTTTTTGAAAATAAGAGTTGGAATATTTGACAGCTTGATTTCAAAAGAATAGCGACCATACTAAATTGAGAAATTTACATTCGAATCTTAAATGTAAAAATGATCGTAGAGAAATATTAATAATTCATGGTATGCTATTACATTTTACATGTGACAAATATTTTCTGAAGATTACTCAGCAAAATGCATACAGAGATTTTGGAATATTTATAATACATATATGAATTCAGACATTCCAAAATCGAAACGATTAATTTTAAGATTATTGTAAAGCTTTCAATTTTTTGATTTTAAAATCGAGCTGATTCGATCATAATATGACAGTGAAAGTTACAATTGATGGATCGAATTATTTATTTCAAGACGGATATATCAACGACAATGCTTATCAAGGCAAAAATTATATTACCAATGCAACTTTTAGCAATGTTTCTGCAATTAGATACAGGGCATTTATGGGTCATACGAGCCTTCGAACAGTAATTGTCTTAGATACATTAGTATCTCTAGGAGCGCAGTGTTTTGATGGCTGCACAAGTCTTGAATACGTCAAATTTTCATTGAATGCTACTAATATCCCTGTTAGTGCCTTTTCTGGATGTACAAATTTAAGAGAAATCATTCTTCCACCATATTTAGAGTCTATTAGTTCAAACGCATTTTACAACTGCTATAATCTAGAACGATGTGAATTTCCATCAACCTTAAAAAGAATAGATAGTAATTCATTTCAATATTGTTCCAATCTAAAAACTATTAAATTCATATCCCCTGTTGATTTGATTGGTCAAAATGCATTCTACAGCTGTTCATCTCTAGCCAGTATTGAATTTTTGTCCCTTGTAACTTCAATCTCATCAGAAGCTTTTTATCAATGTCAGCAATTACAAAATGTCACATTTTATAATGGTGTTCTCTCAATTTCCAGCAATGCTTTTCAAAACGCCTACATTGAAAATCTGACAATTATCGGCCAAGTTGACTCATTGGGAAAATTTACTGGAGGCAAATTGGGAACGGTTAATCTTTCAAGTTCAACTCTCACATCTTTGAATTCAGAAGTTTTTAAAAGTATCTCGATTACAAGCATTTATTTGCCAGTAACTCTTCAGAATATTGGTGACGAAGCGTTTAGAAGTTCCACTGTTGGAAATATGATATTCCAGCCAGGTTGTTCATTGGTATTGGGTGATCATTGCTTCAGAGAAGCCAAAATTAATTATGCTATATTTCCAAATATTACTTCGAAACCATCATCTTCAATTTACAATACAAGATTTGGAACTGTAACATTCACACCAGAAGTTGTAACTATCCCATCAAGTTTATTTAGAGATACATATAACTATGATTATAACAACTATATATCAACTCTTATCATACCAGATACAGTAGAAACAATTGAATCATATGCTTTCTATTACGATCACATTACTAATCTTACACTTGGAAGAGGCTTGAAAAATATTAATGACTATGCATTTTATCGAAATTCTTTCACAAATGTTACAATTCCTTCAACACTGATGACTACTATTAAGCCATACACGTTTGCAAATTGTTATAGTTTGAGATACGTCACTTTGCCAGATACCATTCAAATCATTGATAGTTATGCTTTTAATGGTTGTCCATTAATAAACATTACTATTCCAAATGATCTTAAATCAATTGGATCGTATGCTCTCTCAGGTTCTCTGTTCACAAATTTAACTGTTCCACCAAACTTTTCAAGATTCTATGACAATGCTTTGACAGGAACAAGTATCAAGTACTTGATTTATCCAATCCACACAATTTTAGGAGCATATACATTCGCAGGAAGTACAATGACATCATTAGATATCCCAGAAGGTGTCAAAGAAATTCCAGATTATTGCTTTGTTGGTTCAAATATTGTTTATCTCAGAGTACCTTCAACACTGAAGAAAATAGGTCAATATGCATTCTCAAATTCAAGAATTGAGAAACTTTTGTATTATGATCATATAATTGATATTCAAGAAGGAGCATTTGAGTATACGCAGATCAGAAAATTTGATTTTCCTGAAGGAACAACAGTAATTAAAGGCCGAATGTTCCGACACAGTTACCTAACAGAGATCAAACTTCCAAGTACATTAACATCAATTGGTTATGAAGCATTTTATAATACATCATTGTCATATATTGAATTTCCTGACTCATTAACATCTATTGGATCTTCTTGCTTCGTCTTGACAAATATCACTCATTTCGATTTTCCTCCAATGTTATCTTCAATTGGAGACTACATTTTCAAGGATCTTAATATCACCAATTTTACACTTCCACCAACATTAACATCAATTGGAAGTGGAGCATTCGCAAACACATCAATAACATACATCGAACTTCCAGAAGGATTAAGCACAATAAATTCATATACATTCAGAGATACACCATTATCAAACATTAGTCTTCCAATTTCTCTAAGATATATTAATTCAAATGCATTTGCTCGTACACCAATTACATATTTAGATCTTCCAGATAATTTCTATGAATTTGACTCATATGCATTAGCTAATTCAAATATTAGAGATTTTAGACCTCCAAGTGGATTGAGATATATTTATTACAGAGCTTTCCAAAACTGTCCAGTAAAGAACATAACCCTTCCAAATGGATTATCTCAAATCGACTCGGAGGCATTTATGTATTCAAATATTGTTAATATCACAACACCACCATCATTACAAATAATCTATAATGATGTTTTCGCATATTGCCCAGTTCAACATGTTGATTTGTGGGAAGGAATGACATATATTTATCAATACGCATTTAGAAATAGCAATATCACAAATATTACTTTGCCAAGCACCATAACATATATTGATAGAGAAGCTTTCTTTAACAGCACATTACAATCAATTACTTTCAACAGTCCAGTTGAGTTTTATTCTAAAGTATTTGCATATACTCCAATGGAATATCTCAAAATTCATGAAAATGTTACTACTATTTATAGTTATTCACTAGCTTATACTAATTTGAAAGAACTTGTCATTCCAGATACAGTTACATCCATTGAAAAATTTGCATTCTATTATACTAAATTACCAAATATTACATTGCCATTTAATTACACTCATATTGTAGAATCTACCTTTGAAAGTGCAGGAATTAAATACTATACAATCACATCAAACATTACAACAGTAGAAAGATATGCATTCAGATATAGTGGTGTTCTCAATATATCTTTACCATCAAATATTACTAATTTTGGTGAAAATGTCTTCGAAGGATCCGATATCGAATACATCGAACTTCCAGAGATATTCCCAATTATCCCAATAGAGACATTCAAAAATTCTAGTCTGAAAGGTATCAAAATTTCCAACTCAACAACTTTGATTCAGGAAAGAGCTTTCTGGGGAGTTCCAATGACAAATATAACTATATCTGATTCAGTGACATATATTTCTGAGTATGCTTTTGCATATTCGAACTTAACTCATATTCATCTTGGTGCAAACCTTGTAGGACTTGGACCTTATGTCATCACTCATACACCAATGACAGAAATAGTTCTTAATGAAAACTTCAACTATTTCAATAATTCTGCTTTGAGTGAATCAAATATCACACATATTACATTATCATCACATATAAATAGCCTTGGTAGATACACATTTAGTGATACAAAGCTTGAGTATATAAATATTCCAGAAGGATTGACACAAATTGTTGATTACGCATTTGCAAATAGTTCATTGATTGAAATTAATTTGTCATCAACTGTTCAAACAGTTGGAACATGGGCATTCTCTAATTCATCATTGAAATCAATTAAATTCAAAGAAGGAACTACAACTATTGATAACTGGGCGTTCTCTGGATCTAAATTAGAACATATAGAATTACCACATTCACTTACATATGTTGGATATTATGCGTTTGCAGGAATTCCTTGCGAAAACGTCACATTTTATGAAAATTTCCAGCATCTTGGAGATAACGCTTTTGAAGATAGTAAGATAAAACATGTAGTTTTCCTTAGTGTTTCATATATAGGAGAACTTGCATTCTATAATACAGGATTACAATCAGTAAAGTTCCCAGAAAGATGCAACCAGTTAGTTATTGATTATGGTGCATTTTGGAATTGCAAGATGCCAGATTTTATTCTTCCTAAAGGAGCTAATGTCCTTGGTAAATTTGCTCTAAGAGGAGTAAGACTCTACAGACTCTTCTTGCCAAGTTCACTTCAAATGGCTCACAATTGGTCATATGTTGGTGCTCAAATTGACCACGTTGATCTAGAAGAATATGTAACGAAAATCCCAGATTATTACTTCTCATTAGGTGATTTCTATTCTTTCTCTCTACCTACGACAGTTAGATACATTGGTGAATATGCATTCTTGTCATCATGGATGAAAGAAATAACAATCCCTGCTGGATGCAATATTTCACGATATGCATTCCATGATTGCAAAGCATTGAATAAGATAACTATTGGTACAAATTGTATCATCCATAAAGATTCATTTAACTTCTGCAATAACACAAAAGTCATCGAAGTTTCCGATGGAATTACTTACAAAGATATGGCATTTGGAGATCTTGCAAATATCAGTTTAATTTACAGAGGAACAAACGACATCACTGATCAAATGACAATAGATAACTATAAACAGATTGCAGCAAATGTCACAGTTCCATGCAGCTATACATCTTCAACATTTTGTGGAATTAATGTTATCAAAAAAGATGAATGTTCAGAAATATAACTTTTTATTTATTTTTATTATTTTAATGCGCGTAAACATTTTTATATTTTTCATTAATTACAATGGAAAAGTAGATCTCGAACGATAAGCATTCAATCATTTAAGAATATTTTATTAAAACTTAGAGCTTAAAATTATTATTATTAAAACACCTAAACAAAATAAATAATTAATCATCATCGGTTCTTGCGAAATACATTGCAGTTAGAGCTGCATATTTCACTGAACTTGAATGTTTGTTGTATGAGAAGCAGTTCCAAATTCCATCACATGATGTCATGTTTATTGGACGAACTTTGACAAACTTGGGAGATCTATAACAACATATAACATAAACGGTTCCAAGTTTTCTCTTGTCGATGGATGTCTAATGTCATGTAGGCCATAATGGACAACAGTTGTGTTTGTAACATTTTGGAATGATTTATTTTCTGCGACAAATTCTCCAAATGTGGTGATATTTTGGATTGAAGCACAGAATCTGAATGCTTCATCGTATATATGAGAATCAATTTGTATTGTTAAATTAATAAGATTTAATGAATATTCAAATGAGCCATTGAGAATATGAGTATTATTCCATACATACAAATCTGTCGTTTCACATGAAAGGAAAGAATATTTACTGAAATATCTTAATGAAATAGGAAGTTTGAGTTTTGGAACATGAGTTAAAGCAAAGGCGTACTCATCAACTCTTGAGAATCCTTCTTCTATTTCGATAGAATAAGCCAGTAAACCGGTAAATGCGAATTTACCAGAAAATCAATTCAATAAGATTTGGATCATATATTCAGTTAATTGGTTCAAAAGCATTCTATAATTGTAAAAATTTGTCAAATATTGAATTTCTGTCATCTGTCAAATCATTGTCAGATCAATCTTTTTACTCATGCAAAAATTTAGTTAATGTAACATTTTACAATGGAGTTGAATCTATAGGCGATAATGCCTTTGAGTATTCTATTATCGAAAATCTGACAATAATTGGTACGATTTCTTCTTCAGGTTATTATTCATTTGCAAACTCTAAACTTGCTCTTGTTAATTGGTTAAATGCCACTATTCAAACTTTGAATTCCCACACATTCTACAGTAGCACCATTAGAAACATTTATTTTCCATCCTCTTTGAAGAGGATTGGTGTAAGTGCCTTGTCAAGATGTACTATAGGAAATTTGATCTTTGAAGGTGGATCTTTGATACTTGATGAATATTCTTTACATTATGCCACTATAAATTTCACAGTTTTTCCAACAATCGAATCAAAACATTACTATTCAATTTATTTTACCAGATTTGAAACTGTAACTTTTACACCAGACACGGTATTAATTAGTGCTAATTCTTTTCGAAATACAGTACATGGCCATCCAACAACATACAATCGTGTCTCAACAGTAATATTAACCGAAGCTGTTGAATCCATTGGTGAATATGCCTTTTTCTCACTTGGAATTACGACATTAATAGTGAATGAAAGACTGAAAAACATTGATCGCTATGCATTTGCGCATAACTCTTTCACAAACGTTACCATTCCTTCTCCAAATTTAACCGTAATCAAGGACCATGTATTTCATGAATGCACTTCTTTAGAAAATTTAACTTTGCCTGATTCGATACAATCATTTGATGATTATGCTTTTTATAACTGTCCTCTAATAAACTTAACAATTCCAAATGATTTGAGGTATATTAAACAATTTGCACTCCACAGATCAAAGTTTACTAAACTAGTGATTCCTCCAAATTTCTCAAGGTTTTACCAGAATTCGTTAGCAGGTTCAAATATAAAGTATTTAATTTATCCATTCCATGTTATATTGAACTCGTATTCATTCGCTGGAAGTACGATACGATTCTTAGATATCCCAGAAGGTGTAAAAGAAATTCCAGATCACTGTTTTTATGAGGCAGAAGTAGTATTCGTTCGAATGCCCTCAACTCTGACAAAAATCGGACCATATGCATTCGAACATACAAGAATTTCAAAGCTTTTGTATTTCAATCATACAATAGATATTCAGGATGGAGCATTTCAATACACACAAATGAGGAAATTTGAATTTCCCGAGGGAACAACAAGAATCAATTCATATATGTTTCGTCATAGTTTTCTCACTGAGATCAAACTTCCAAGTACATTGAAATCAATTGGAGAATATGCATTCTATAACACATCAATAACACATATTGAATTTCCTAACGCAACAACTTCGATCGGACATTTTTGTTTTTGTTTGACAAATATGACACATTTTGATTTGCCTCCCAAAATATCTTATATTGGGAATTTTATTTTTATGGGTCTTAATATAACAAACATTACCCTTCCATCCACGCTAAAATCAATTGGATCTGGCGCCTTCGTACAAACATTAATAAGTTATATTGAACTTCCTGAAGGATTAGAAACAATTAATTCAGAAACATTCAGCGATACACCATTATCAAATATTAGTCTTCCTCGATCTCTGAGATATATTGGTTCCAATGCATTTGCTCGAACACCTATTGCATTCCTTGATTTACCAGATGCATTTTATCAATTTTCAGATCAAGCATTAGCAAATTCAAATATTAATGATTTTACTCCTCCAAGTGGTTTGAGACAGATCTATTCAAGGACATTTGAGAATTGTCCAGTAAAGAATATAACTCTTCCAGAAGGATTTTCATTTATCCGTGCACAAGCATTTATGAATTCAAATGTTATAAACATTACAACTCCTTCAACATTAAGACGTATTGATTATGATGCTTTTGCATACTGCCCTGTTTCAAGCATTGATTTGTGGGAAGGAATGGAATATATTAGTGAAAAAGCATTTAGATTTTGTAATATCACAAATATCACGCTTCCGAGCACAATTCGTAGAATTGAAAGATATGCTTTTAATGGTAGTAAGTTAGAATCAATTGCATTCAATAGTTCAGCAATATTTTACGAATACTCATTTGCATATACCCCAATGGAAAGATTGGAACTGTTTGATGGATTAACAATGATTTACAAATATTCACTTGCCTATTCAAACTTAAAAGAAATTGTTGTTCCGGACTCAGTCACATATATTGGAGAATTTGCATTTGCTAACTCTACATTACCAAATATTACTCTACCATCAAATTATACATCCATTGCACAATCTGCATTCGAATACGCAGGAATAAAATACTACACAATTACATCAAATATCACATCTGTTGAGCAATATGCATTTAGAAACAGCCGCATTCTAAATATTTCATTTCCTCCATCTCTAAAATATATTGGAGAAAGTGCATTTGAAAGATCTGATAAAGAATATATTGATCTTCCTGAAGGAATTACTAGATTGCCATTAAATGTATTTAAACTATCAAAGCTCCGAAGTATAAACATACCAAATACTGTTGTCCACATTTATAAAACTGCTTTCTTTGGCGTTCCTATGACAGATGTTGTAATTCCTGATTCTGTACAATATATATACGACAAAGCTTTTGCAGAATCAAATTTAACAAATATAACTTTGGGAAGAAATTTGGTAAAAATGGGATCCTTAATTTTCACTCATACTCCAATGAAAGAACTCGTCATGAATCAGAATTTCCAATATTTTAATGATTCATCATTAGCTGAATCAAATATCACAAATGTTACTTTACGTGAAAATCTGAGGCATTTTGGATACTATAATTTCAAAGGATCTAAATTGGAATACATTGATATACCTGAAGGTATTACAAGTATCACTAAATATTCATTTGCAGGTAGCCTACTGAAAGAAATCAATTTGGCGTCATCTGTGGAATCAATAGCTGAGTACGCATTTAGTAACTGTCCAATGACATCAATTTCATTTAAAGAAGGAACACGTCGTTTTGATTCTTGGGCCTTTTCTAATTCTAATATAGTGAATTTTACTCTGCCACATACTCTTACAAGTATTGGAAGCTACTGTTTTTCTAACACTCCATGTGAGAATATGACATTTTATGAGCAATTTCAAGATGTTGCTGATAATGCATTTACTGGTAGCAATGTGAAGCATATAATTTTTGGAAATGTCAGATATATTGGAAGAGAAGCATTTGTTAATTCAGCTATTGAAACAATAAAGTTCCCAGAAAGAGCATCTTTATCAATTAGATATGGTGCATTTATGAATTGTGAATTACCTGATATCATTCTTCCTGAAGGAACACATAACATCGAAAAGTTCGCATTTAGAGGCATAAGATTATATAAACTGTTCATTCCATCTTCACTCACTCTATCACATAATTGGTCATATGTTGGATGTCAAATTAATGAAGTTGAATTACAAGAAGGAGTTGTTAATATACCAGATTATTATTTCTCATTAGGAGACTTCTATTCGTTCTCTATTCCTTCAACAGTTACATGCATTGGAAAGTTTGCATTCCTGTCATCTTGGATGAAAGAGATAACAATTCCTTCAGGATGCACTGTTTCTCACCATGCTTTCCATGATTGTCAAGCATTGAAAAAAATAACAATTGGTGCAAACTGTATTATCAACAGGAAGTCATTCAATTTCTGTAATAATACTGAGATCATCCAAGTCTCAGAGAATATTGAATATAAAGGTATTGCTTTTGGAGATCTTGTAAATATCAGTTTAGTTTATAGAGGACTATCTGATATTTCAGACGAAATGGCAATAAATAATTATAAACAGATTAAACTTCCAACTACATTGAAATATATAGAAAACAATGCATTTTACAATACAACATTAAGGCATATTGATTTTCCTGATGGGTTATATTCAATTGGTTCTTACGCCTTTACTCTGACAAATATAACTCATATTGACTTCAATAGTGGCTTATATTCTATTGACCAATATGCGTTTTACAATTCAAATGTTACTGTAGTTAACTTCAATAATGGATTATATTCAATTGGTCAATACGCATTTTCCAATACTAACCTGACTCATGTTAACTTCAATGAAAGTTTGCATTCAATCGACTCATATGCCTTTTCCAATACTAATCTCACTCATATTGACTGTAATAATGGCTTATATTCAATTGGTTCATACGCTTTTATCAATACAGATATAACAACGGTTAACTTCAACGAAGGATTATATTCAATTGGTTCAGGAGCATTCATGAATTTAAACATTCCTAGAATAATATGTAATGCATGAAAAATAGCGTGACTTCATTTTTGACAGTTTACAAATGTAAAGTGTTGCATCCTTAAAAACTTGGAAATATATACATTCATGAATTATCTTGTATATTAATTGAAAATCCATAAAACCCTAACAATATTTTTTCTTAAAAAAAAACTATAAAAATATAAATAAAATTAATTGTTAAGGATACCCTTACGTGTCAGATTTTTTGCGCATACGAAGAAGTCATGCTAGACATGAGCTATAAACCTGAAATTTTAGCAACATATTTAAAACTTTTTAAACTACAATACACTTTAATATTCAAGAACAAAAATATTCTTTTTAGAAATTACATAATTATTTTATGTGAAATCTATATAAAAACATATTTTGCGAGCGTAACTTTTTTCTTTATAAGCACCTTATATGACTTATAAACTGTGAAGGCACATAATTGTTAATTCATAGAGTTGATATGTTTCCAAAATTGAGAGGAAATTTGAAAATTGAATACCCTTTCAATTCAATTTTCAAAAGATATCAGCTCCTTCAATAATTGAAGGACGATTTTGATCATTTGCTCTTAAAACAAGTATGCCATGGAGAAAAAAGTTACGCTCGCAAATCTGAAATATAACTATCATATAAAAAAATTAAATTTCTAATTTTTTACTCTATAGATATTATTGGCCACTTGTGTAATGCATAAAAGTTTATGTCATATGCATACATTTGGAAGTATGGGAGACGAGGGAAATTACTTCTATGAGGCACTAGGATTTTTAAAAATTTCTCTATCGGACTCACTATTCAATTTCTCGAAAATTAAAAAAATCAATAATAGCTAAAATGTATTATGCATAACAAATTTTAATGTTACACGGTATTTTTTGAACTTCATGACATGAATTTTCTTTATATTATTTTTTTTTTTTGGATTTTCTATGATTTATGCGATAGGCTGGAACAACATTGTAAGTGCAATGATATCATTTATAGAGAAATCTAAAACTTCAGCATTCAGAACTCGCAACCACAAAAATATTCATTTGCTAAGTAAGTAAAGTTGATTAAGTTCGACACTTAGCTTTTATACGTAAAACCAAGTGTGTATTGTTATTTCTTGTTAAATTATTGAGAAAAAAATAAATTGTAAGAGAAACGATACTGATTATTGAAATAATATTGAGGGTAGCTGCAGATTTCTTCATTAACATGCCGGAAATTTGTTAATCTTGGTTTTCTATCATAAAATCTGTCGAAGAATCTAAAAACGGAGATATGAAATAGAGATCATGTAAATCTAGAGTATCCTGTCAGAAAAATAGACTAAGCATGTAACCCTTTTTTGGTCATAAACACTTTTTACCACTTAGTCATACAGATGATCATTAAATTTAAACGAGCACTTTTTGTCAGAATTTATTCTTTTACAAAGACAGAAGATTTTAGTATTATTTAATATTAGTGCTGTAGCAAAATTCAAAAAACGGTGAAAATTCAGTGAATTTGTGAATTCACATTTTTTTCGACATTTTTTGATATATCCATGCACATTAAGAACACAGCTTTGATACGCTTAAAAAAGCATATTTCATATGAAATTGTTAAAGAAATAAACAATTTATATAAAAATTGCACTTATGGGCAGTTTAGATATATAATTTATATATAACATATATACAAATCCATAGACAAAGTGCAATAACTACAATGTTGTAGAAAATTACAGCAGAAATACTGACTTTTTGAAGGATAATAAGAATTCTTCTAAATGTTGTATTTTTATAATTTGATTGATTTTTTTACTATTTCATTAATCTTTTATGAATAATAATTATTTTTAATATATGTGCTATTAAAATTTCAAATTTTGACTAATATATCTAAGTTATCTGAACGAAACATTTAGAAAATATCATACTTACATTGAAATAGCAAGTAGAGCATATTAATAGCAAGTTTCTTGGCTTTATATCTATCATCTATTGTTGTTTGATCAAACAAAATTCACTCTATTATATGGTGTCAATTAATTAAAACAATTTTTAATAGTTATTTATTTAGTGCGAATAAGTGCAAACTCATAAATGAATAACTTAATAGTAGAAATGAATTATCTGATATAAATCTCATATTTTGTCCATCAGAAATACTTTAATTGCATACGCATAACTATTAGTAATACGTCTGGAGTGTCAATTAATAACAATCCCACAACAAGTAAAATTCAGATTTTTATTAAACTTATTTTTTCCTAAAAGTTTTCTCAAATTACTATATATACATATGTGGATAAAATAATAGTAATATTGTAAAAAATTAGATAATTTTTTTTATTTGAGAACCTCTCAAAAGTTCATTCAATTTATCAATTGTTTCAGTTTGATGTATATTCATTTCTGGAGCCTAAAACTTTAGCAATCATGACAATATCATATTCTCTTTCTAACTACGCAATGTAAGGGTATCCTTAAATAAAAATATTTGATATTAGAATTTTATTGGAAAAATAAAAAACTTAATATTTTAAAGAAATACTTAAATACTTGAATGTTTTAACTTTTACATTATCATATAGACTCTCAAATTATTGATTGGAAACGGTTTGAGGGTTATCAATTTTAAAAAAATTGTGAGTTTTTTAGATTTTTGGCAATGAGTTTTAAAAATTTGTGAGTGAGAATGTGTGTTGATGCTTGGCACTTTGAAGGGAAGATGTTCTGGGTTCACAATTATTAATGGGATAAATAAAATGATTATAAATATAATATATTAGAAAATAATTTGCAAAATCTCTCCATTTTTATAAATTTAATAATAGAAGTTGATCTATATAGAAAGAGCGTTTTATCTATTAAGTTTTTGGCTTTTGCCTTCAAATCATTAATATAATTTTTTCAAAAAAATTGTTTTATTTAAAATAAACAAATTTTATCAAATAACTAGTATTTTTAAATTATCTCTTGAAAAATTGAAAAATTTACAAATTAAAAAATGGAAGACATCTTGGTTCGTCTCGAAAACCCAGAAGATCTTAAAACTTTTCAACTCCCAACCGTTCCCGCCGATCAGGTTCTCAACGTAATTGAAGAAAAATATCAAGAATACATTAATAATCCAAATGTAACTCTCGAAGATACGGCAAAAACACTTTCAATAGGAAAAGAACGTTTGAAAAAAATTTTCGTACTACTCGGCTATCCAATAAAAGAAAGAGGAAGACCAAAGAAAAAAATTTTTGAGGAAGATGTATACAAAATTTTGGAAATTAAAGCACAATATGACATTGGATACAAAAGGATCAAAGAATCATATTTCGAAAAAGTCGAAAGATTTACATTCAACGATGCTTTCAAAATTTTCAATCAACAACATTTGTTTACATTTCACAGGCATCAGAAAATCGACGAACATCCACATGAATACGTTGCTCAATATGTTAATCAATTGTGGCATACTGATTTGAAATTTCTGAAGGACGATAACGGTAACCTTCAATATTTAATTTCATTTCTTGATGACAGAAGCAGATACATTATTTGCTGGGATGTTTTCGATACAAAAGAAATGAAAAATACTGCCAGAGTATTTCGTCACGCAATTGATTTAGTCAAATTAGTTCCACATGGAATTCTCACAGATAATGGAACAGAATTCATTGGAAAAGATTTTGAAGCGGTTTGCCAAGAATTCAATATAAAACATTTCAAAACTCATCCGTACTCTCCAGAGGAAAATGGAAAAATTGAAAGGAGTTGGGAGACTCTTTTCAAGACAAACCCTGGAGTGAACGTCTTTGAGTTCATCCCCAATGTTGTTTCCCAGTATAATAGGGTATGGAAACACTCCGCATTATTCAAACTCTTTGGGGAGAAATTGACTCCATTTGAGGCCTGGGAAAGAGGCCCCAAATGGACAAAAGATCTCTGCGCTGAACCAGGCTTCGAAAAAAATCTTAGAGATTAACAAATAATTTCAAAAACAAGAAAATTCAAAAAATCACAAAAAGGAAGTTAAGGAATAAACACTTACATTTATTACATTTGGATTTTTTTTTTAAATTCAGTATTATTTTTAGAAATAAGATAATATAGTTCTAAATAAAACAAAGAATGTTAAGAATGAAGAAGGAATTAGCGGATGCAGCCGAAGCACGCTCACAAATTACTCTCAATATCCACTCAAATCATACAAAGTTTTGTCGAATAGTTTGATATAAAGACAAAAAATTTACAATTTTTAATTAAATCCGAACAATCTTACATATGCAGCCGAAGCACACTCACAAATTACTCTCAATATCCACTCAAATCATACAAAGTTTTGTCGAATAGTTTGATATAAAGACAAAAAATTTACAATTTTTAATTAAATCCGAACAATCTTACATATGCAGCCGAAGCACACTCACAAATTACTCTCAATATCCACTCAAATCATACAAAGTTTTGTCGAATAGTTTGATATAAAGACAAAAAATTTACAATTTTTAATTAAATCCGAACAATCTTACATATGCAGCCGAAGCACACTCACAAATTACTCTCAATATCCACTCAAATCATACAAAGTTTTGTCGAATAGTTTGATATAAAGACAAAAAATTTACAATTTTTAATTAAATCCGAACAATCTTACATATGCAGCCGAAGCACACTCACAAATTACTCTCAATATCCACTCAAATCATACAAAGTTTTATATTTTCATTTTATTGTTTCTTAATAAAGAATTTACTTTAATATTCTTAATTGTTTTCTTTTTTATATTTAATTTTTGATATCTATTTTAAAAAACTTATACAAATTCGAGTCAGCTAATAATTTAATTGAAAAAATAAAAAGAAAACATATAATTTTTAATCCGTCTAATTGAATAAGCAATATTATAAATATTATGTTAAACGGTTAATTTTTTCTCAAAAAAAAATTATTTCGAATTTCCGAAATTTTTGACATTTTGGCTGAGAACTATGGTCTGCGAGGTACATAGATAGAATCAGTACCTCGCAGACTATAGTTCTCTATATGGCGCCGAAAATTTTTGGTGAAATGTCGTCGCATTTCACCAAAAATTTTTCGGCGCCATAGGAAGAATTGGAGGGTGTGAGATACTATTACATGCTATAGTACTCACACCCTCCAACTCCCAATCAAAATCGCATAAAATTTGCTACTTATCTTCAGATTACCTCCCATTATAAAATATATCATTGCTATCTCATCGTACTATATTTCCACCCTATTGTATTTAAAAATATAAAATTTTTTGATAATATATTTTTATATCTTGAATTTTCAAACAATATATTCACAGATAATATAATGGGAAATCTATCTCAACCTAGCCTTAAAGTACCAAACTCCTGCTTGCATTCTCACTCACAAATATTAAACATCCATCTCCAAAAAACTAAATTCTTCACAATTTTTTTAAAATTGAGAACATAAAAAACGTATGCATTCAATAATTTAAGATACTAACAAATATTAAAAACTTCAAAATATCAGATATTAACGTTTTTCAATTAAAAAAAATATCATTTTGCTTTTCAATTCGAACATAAATCTTAAATATTTTTAATTAATATCTGATTTACAGCATTATTATCCATTTATAAATCTGACAAATAAATAACAAAACCGTCAGAAATAGTGTCATTTTTGTCAAAAGTGAAGTCACGCTATTTTTCATGCACAACAAGTTTCAACAATTAACTCTGAATTATTTAGAGATACACCTTTATCAAATATAACTGTTCCAAGATCTCATAGAACAATTAATAGAAGGGCTTTTGCAAACACTCCATTAGACTACATTTATCTTCCCGATGGACTTTCAAGGATTGATGCAGAAGCATTTCGAGATTCAAATATCTCTGATTTAAGGATTCCAAGTAGTTTGAGAAATATTAGATCTAGAGCTTTTGATAACTGTCCATTGAAAAACATTACACTTCCATATGGAATGTCTGAAATAAATAGTGAAGCATTTATGAATTCAAACATTATAAATCTCACAACACCAAGCACAATAATGACGGTGTATTCAAATGCATTTAAGTATTGTCCTTTAGACTATTTCTATCTAAATGAAGGAATTACATTAATTGATAATAGTGCATTTGCTTTTAGTAATATTACGAATATTACTTGTCCTAGTACTTTAGAAACAATAGGTTCATATGCCTTTAATTCAAGTAAATTAGAATCAATAACTTTCAATAGTTCAGTTTATTTTCATGATTATTTATGTGCATATACTCCAATGGAGTTTCTTGAAATACATGAAGGAGTTACTGAAATTCATTCTTATTCACTTGCATATACAAACTTAAAAGAACTTATTATTCCCGATACTGTTACTTCAATTGGCTCATTTGCGTTCAAACAAAGTACTCTTCCTAATATAACTCTTCCAGTAAACTATACAAATATTGGAGTTTCGACATTTGAAGAGGCAGGTATAAAATATTATAATGTCACTTCGAATATCACATTTATCAACTATTATGCATTTAGGAATAGCAGAATATTGAATATCACACTTCCTAAGTCATTGAAACACATCGAATTTGGTGCTTTCGAAGGATCTGATATTGAGTACATAGAAATACCAGATGGAATTATTAATATCACACATAGCCTTTTCAAAGATAGTAAACTAAGAAGTATTAAACTTCCTGAGAGTGTTAAAAACCTTCATAATCATTCATTTTATGGTGCTGTAATTACTGATTTAGTTCTCTCAGATAACATTGAAAAAATCTATCAATATTCATTTGCTTTTTCAAATTTGACTACTATTCATTTACCAAAATACTTATCTATAATTGGATATCATTGCTTTATGCATACACCAATGACATATCTAGAAATGAATCCAAACTTTCAGATTTTCAATGATTCAGCCCTTGCTGATTCAAACATTACAAACGTCGTTTTACCATCATCATTATCGGTAATAGGTGAATATTGTTTCAATGGTTCAAATGTTACATACCTTCAATTACCAGAAGGATATGGTGGAATCAATTCAAAATCATTTGCAAGTAGTAAGATTATTGAAATCAATATGTCATCAACAATTTCTTCAATTTCCAGTTATGCTTTTATGTTTTGTCCAATGACATCACTTGTAATTAAGAATAATACGGGATGGATCGGAGACCATGCATTTGCAGGAAGTAAATTGGTTAATATTACTTTCCCACCAACAATATATTATATTGGACCATGCGCATTTGAAGAATGTCCTTGTGAAAATGTAACATTGTATGAAAGGTTTCAAAGCATTGGAAATAATGCATTCACAAATAGTAGCGTAAAGTATTTAATACTTAAGAATGTAAGTTCAATTGGATATCAGGCATTTTACAATTCATCAATAGTTTCAATACAATTCCCTGACCATGTAAATATGAGTATTTACTATGAAGCATTCAGAAATTGTATTCTACCAGAGATAATCATACCATATGGAACAGAAGAAATCGGCAAATTTGCATTTAGAGGTACCAGACTTGAGAAATTATTCATTCCTGCAACAGTTCGAAGATTATATAATTGGTCATTTGTAGGATGTCAAATCAATGAAGTTATCATTGAAGAAGGATTCACAACAATTCCAGAGTATTATTTCTCAATGGCAGACATTTATCATATTACTCTTCCATCGACAATTTCATATATTGGAAGATATGCATTCATGGCAGCATGGTTCAGTGAAATAACAATTCCAGCTGGGTGCACTATCTCACACCATGCATTTGAAAACTGTCAAATGCTTACAAACATTACAATTGGAGCGAACTGTGTCATTAATATAGATGCATTTGTTCTCTGCAACAATACGAAGATTGTCACCGCTGGCAAGAATATTGAATACAAAGATATGGTTTTTGGTGAATTGAAGAATATAGAGCTTATTTATACAGGACAAACTGACCCAACAGACGAAAATACAATAAAAAACTATAAACAAATTGCCTCAAAAGTTAAGGTTCCATGTGAATATGCATCCACAACATTTTGCGGCATTAATGCTATTAAACAGGATGGATGCACTTAACATTGAGAGTTTTTAATCTTTCAAGAAAAGTTATTATGTTTTAAATTCACTTTATGAATAAATTATTTTAGTATTATAAATTTTTATCAAATTGGGTATGTAACATATTATATACCCACAGATGATTTTTGAATAAGTTATGATTAATATAGCTAATATAATTATATAAAACATATAGAGAAAATACTTATATAAAATTAAATAACGCAAAAATAAAATCTTTTAATAAAATGATCATGATAAAACGCATAAAATAAATAAAAATTAGTCATCATCGGTTCTTGAGAAATACATTGCTGCAAGTGCTGAGTATTTGATTGAACTTGATGCCTTATTATATGAAAAACAATTGAATATACCATCGCATGTTGTCATGTTTTGAGGTCTATGTTTGACAAACTTTGGAGACCTGTAACAACATATAACTTTTACAATTCCTGGGACACTACGGAAGTTTTCTCGTGTTAATGGGTTTCTTATGTCATACAAACCAAAATGGAATACAGTCGCATTTGTGACATTATGGAATGAGTTATCTTCTGCGATGAATTCACCATATGTTGTGATATTTCTCATTTGAGAACAGAAGGTGAATGACTCACCATAAAAACGGGAATCAGGCTGAATTGTCAAATTGACCAAGTCGGTGCAATATTCAAATGTATGATTGAGAATCTGCGTATGATTCCATACAAACAAATTAGTAATATCAGTTGACAGGAAGGCATATTGATCGAAATATCTCAATGAAACAGGGAATTTGAAGTTTGGAACATGTGATAATGCAAAAGCAAACTCATCAATCTTAGAGAAACCTTCTTCAAATTCAACTGAGTTTGCAAGTAATCCAGAGAATGCAAATTTACCAATTTTTTGAATCGTATTCGGAATCTTAAGTTCATTAATACATGTTCCTTTGAATGCGAATTCTTCAATCACTTTTGATCCAAATGGAATTCTCAAATATGGGACTTTGATCCAACTGAATGCATACATTCCGATTGTTTCTATTGGGGCATTTTCTGGCATGATGATGTTGGAAATTCGGCAATTATAAAAAGCATATTCACTTATGAACTCTAATGTACTTGGAAGAGTTAATGATTCCAATTTTGAATAAAAGAAGGCATAGCTTTCAATTCGTTTCAAACCATCCTTGAAGACCATTTCTTTACATGGACAGTATTGAAATGAATAACCATCAATTGTATTCAATGTACTTGGAAATTCAAAATATTCGATTTTACAGTTTTGGAATGATTCACTGTAAATCCTTTCCAATCCTTCGGGAATTACTAATCTAGAGACCTTATTTCCTTCAAAAGCTCTAGATTGTACAGTTACGAGTGACTGGAATTCAACGTATGCAATGTTACTACTTGCAAGTGCATAAGTATCTAATTGTTGGAATTTTTCTTTGAAAACCAATCTAGTAAGAGGAGTATTTTGAAAGACATACTTGCCAACTCTAAGAAGAGAGCTTGGAAGCTCAAGGTTTTCTAATTTAGAGTTTTTGAAGCATTCTTTTTCTATTGTTTGCAAGTTATTTGAAAGTGTAATATGGGTTAAGTTACTGTATGTAAATGTGTTTGTATCCAAGATAGTTACAGGATCGGGGATGATTATTTCTTCTATAGGGGTATTATAAAAACATTGATATCCGATACTATTTACATTGCGAGGCAAAACAATGCCATAAATACGAGAACTCATAAATGCACTATATTCAATAGTTGTTAATGAATTTGGAAGAGTGATTGATTCAATCTTACTCTCAAGGAAGCATTCATAGGGAATTTTTGTAACTCCTTCAGGAATATTTATTGACCTAAGTGTACAGGAATAGAAACATCTGTAGCCAATGCTTCTAAGTGTATTTGGTAATGTCATGTTAGACAATTTACAACTCTGAAATACCTCATAAGAAACTTCTCTTAAAGAGTCAAAGAAATGAATTGTTCCAATTGTGGCAGAATAGAAGGCACGATATCCTATGTAATTTAGTTTATTTGACATATAGATATCATTAGATCGAGCATATTCAAAACACCAACTACCAATGCTAGTAATCGTATTAGAAAATCTGATAATTGAAATGTTTGAGTTCTCAAAAGCATCACTGTCGAGACTTATCAGGCCTTCATTTAATTGTATCTCAGGTAATGTACAATTATTAAATGCGTCCCTGGAAATTGTTCGAATTGTACTTGGAATATTGATTGATTCTAATATTGTATCACCATATTCATATGAGTATATTGTTGTTTTTCCTTCTGGAAGGAGAGGATTTTTCATTGGGATATTTCCAAATGGACGGGATCCGAACGATGTTTTATTGTTCATGTCAAATGTTTCAAGTTGGCTGCCATAAAATGCACGTTCACCAACACTAGTAATTGTTGACGGAACATTGATCCTTTTCAACTTTGAATAGTAGAAAGCATAATCACTAATTGTGGAAACTCCTTTTGGAAGAGTTATTTCTTCAAATTCTGAAAATTGAAAACAATATCTTCCGAATGAGTTGAATGAGGCAGGAAAATCGAATTTCTCGACTTTGGAGTACTCAAAGCAATTAGATCCAAAGGAGCGGAGAGTATCTGGAAGCTTGATATATTTAAATGTAGAATGAGAAAAACAGTAATCTTCAAAGGAATAAAATGGATTAGGGAAAGTAATATTTCGAACTTTTGTATATGCAAAGCAAAACCTACTCAAAGATGTAATTTTTGAAGGAATTTTGATATTCTTGATTCTCGACCCATTGAATAATCCTTCAGGGAAAGAAGTTATAGTATCAGGAATTGTTATGTGCTTGATATCTGAGCATCCAAACATATATCCAGCCAATGTTGTTTGTTTTTCAGGAAGATCAATGTGATTGATACGAGAACCATTAAAGCATTTGTATCCGAATTCAAGCGGTTTGTTTGGGAAAAAGATTTTACAAATATCTGAATTAATAAAGGCATAATCACCAAACGACTCAATTGTATCAGGAAAAGTAACAAAAACCAAACGGCTACTAGCAAATGCATATGATTTGATAGTTTTGATTGGCTCAGGAACATTAAATGTTTCTAAAAATGCATTGGCAAATGAATATTTTCCTAAGACTGTTATATTTGAAATGCAACAATATTCTAAGTTTGAATCAGCAAATCCAAAATCTTCAACTTCTCTAAATCCATCAGGAAGAGACATGTTTCTAAGGGGAGTATGGCCAAAAGCAAATGCTCCAACTGAAGTGAGTGTACTTGGTATTACAATTTTCCATAAATTACTATATTCAAAAGTTTTAGGGCAAATTCTTGACAATCCCTCATTCAAAGTGATGTAGTTTAACGAACTATGATAGAAAACACCATTCTTAATATTGATCAAAACAGGTGGCATAGAAATATTGATTAGTCCACAGTAGGCAAATGCATATGGATCTAGTGTCGTAATAGGATGAGGTATGACAACATCATGAAGTGGGCAAAAAGCAAATGCATAACTTCCAAAATATTTAATTGTATTTGGGAAGTTTATATAGGTGAATTGAATAGGAGAAGAGTAGTAGTAGTTATCTCTTGCAAACGCCGAGTCACCAATATGCTCAAAACCCTGCGGCAAAGTGCAATTTGGTAATTTCGTAAAATTATAAAACCCATAATTACCAATGTAAGTCAAATACGGTGGTAGTATCAGTTGTGTTACAGCTGAGTTATTTGCAAAAGCACTATTCCCGACCTTTGTTAGAGAATCTGGAAATGTGATTTCATCAATCAAGGAACAGTTTTCGAAACAAGAATTTCCAATCGTTGTTACACGCGTATTTGCTAATAAGCACTTTGTAAATGTGTTATTGTAAAACGCATAATTTCCGATTCGGGAAAGTGTGCTACAAAACGCCGGGCTTTGAAGTTTCGTGCAGTTCCAGAAACAATAATCAGGAATATAAGTGAGTTCAGGGTTAAAAGGGTAGGATTCCAAGCTCGAACAGTTATAAAAGCAGTTTTCACCAAGTTCGCGCAAGGGAGAGTTAATAAAAATCGATTTTAATGATATACATTGAGAGAATGCATCCTTACCAATCGAAATTACAGTATTTGGAAAAGTTATATTATCAAGTCGCGAACAATTATAAAATGCGCCAGAGTTAACAATCCTTAGAGAATTTTGAATGGTAACGTTTCTTAAGTAAATAGAACTATTGAAAGCATAATTTCCAATAATTGATACATTTATAAGAAATGCGGAAAGCATATAAGTACCCTGATATCTTCTTTCATTAATATTACCATTATATATCGTGTAGCAATAATTATAATAATTAACTGATTCGGTGGCACTCATATTTCTGAATTTTTTTATCAGAGTTTTGAAAATTTTAACATCAAGAAAACATCAATAAGATTTAGAATTTTGTAATGCTATCTGTTTACTAAAAGATGAATCCTTTTTGCCATTATAGTAACCTTATTTATTTTTATTTTGTTCTATTCAAATAATGAAAAATAATATCTTTTTATCTTTTTTTGGCCACTTTAACCGCTATTCTTTGAATTGCTATAGAAAATTTGAGGGAATCTGATACGAATGTAAATGGCCAAATCTTTTAATGAACTCATCATTATTACCATCAGATCTTTTCAGCAATGTTAACAATAGAGCCCCTAAACTTGGAATCAAATTTATTACTTCTATTTATAAATTAATAAATAGATACGATAATTAAGATAATTTTCTTCTTCTAAAAGATTTAATTTTGACATTTAAATTCAAATAAAATCTCCTGAAAATTTTCAGAACTTTACGATTTGGAGAATTTGAAAATAAGCTTCATTTTCTATGACATTAAAATGAATCTGTTAAGTAGTTAAATACTTTTTACTTTACAACTTTTGAAATTCTTTAGAGATTTAAATGGCTGCAAAGGTCACAATTGATGGATCTAATTATCTATTTCAAGACGGAATCATCTTAAGCAATGCATATCAATATGATAGTGCCATAAGCAAAGCCACATTTACCAACGTTCCGACAATTAATTTCAAAGCTTTTCAACTTTGTACGAATTTAAGAACAATAATTGTATTGGACACATTAACATCGATTGGGGCATACTGCTTTGTAGGATGCACAAATTTACAAACGGTCAAAATCTCATCAGATCTTACAAATTTACCAGAAGGAGTATTTGCTGATTGCACAAATCTACAAGAAATAACTTTCCCTCCATATCTGCAATCCATTGGCATACAAGCGTTTCAAAACTGCAATAATTTGGAACGATGTGAATTTCCTTCATTTCTCAAACGAGTAGATAGTGAGGCATTTCGTAACTGTCGTTCCATTAAAGCTATAAAGTTTGCATCCCCTGTTGAATTAATTGGCAAAGACGCGTTTAATAGTTGTAATGCGTTGTCGAGCATTGAATTTCTATCTCCTGTGACAGCAATCTCAAAAACTGCCTTTTCTCAATGTCAGAAATTAAAAAACGTCACATTTTATGATGGTATCGAATCAATGGGCGACAATGCCTTTTCATCAAGTTATATCGAAAATCTGACATTTATCGGTACAGCTTCTTCATTCGGATCAAACACTTTTCAGAGCGGCCGATTGGGCACTGTTAACTTAACGAGGGCATCTTTCACATCATTGAATTCATACACATTCAGCTCTGCAACAATCCAATATATTTACTTCCCTCAATCAATTTCCAATATTGGCAGATATGCCTTTTCAAATGGCAATATTGGATCTATGATATTTCAACCAGGCATTGTTTTAGAATTGTCAGAATATTGTTTCTACAACACAAGAATTGATTATGTTATGCTTCCAAAAATTTCATCAAAAGCAACAAATTCATTTATTATACAAGATTTGGAATTCTTACATTTGCACCTGAAGTAACTGTAATAACCAATTCATTCTTCAAAGATATAGCAACTAAATACACATCTTACACTGGTGATCACACATCAAATAACAGAATATCCACATTAATCATATCAGATACAGTTGAATCAATTGAATCAAGCGCATTTTATTCATTAGGAATATATACAATTACTCTGGGCCGTGGCTTAAAGAATATCGGCACATATGCATTTGCATATAACAATTTCAATAGAGTGTCAATTACATCACCATATATAAGAAATATCAATTCATATACATTCTCAGAGTGCACTTCTTTGCAATATGTAACATTACCCGATACTATTCAAATCATTGATAGTTATGCATTTAATAAATGCCCATTACTAAACATTACTATTCCAAATGACCTGAGTTTTCGAAAATTACCCGGTAAAGAATATCACGCTCCCATATGGATTTTCCGAAATTGGCTATCAAGCATTCATGTATTCAAATGTAATTAATATCACTACTCCAAGAACATTAAGCTCTATTGGTTCTTATGCATTTTCATATTGCCCTGCACAATTCATTGAACTATGGGACGGAGTGAGTACTATAAGTAATTACGCTTTCCAATATAGTAATATAACTAATATAACAATTCCTAGTGGAGTTTCTGAACTAGGATACATGGCTTTTTATAGAAGCACTTTACAATCAATTACATTCAAGGGCCCAACTTCATTTCGAGAATATGCATTTTCATATACTCCACTTCAACAACTTGAAATAATTAACGGTGTAACATATTTATATAGTTATTCTCTCGCGTACACAAACTTGACCGAATTAATAATACCAAATTCAGTAACTTCTATTGGAGAATTTGCATTCCATTATAGTAAATTGCCAAACATTACATTACCAAATCAATATACATATATTCGTGAATCAACATTTGAAAATGCTGGTATCAAATACTACACAATTACATCAAACATTACTTACGTTGGCAAGTATGCATTCAAAAATAGTCGTGTTCTTAACATATCTTTACCAAATTCAGTTACATACTTTGGTGAAAACGTATTCGAAGGTTCTGATATCGAATACATTATTTTTCCAGAAGGAATCAATAAAATCCCTATTAACACTTTTAAGAATTCTCAATTGAAATATGTAAAGATACCAGAAACAGTTTTTGAAATAGACGATTATGCATTCTGGGGAGTTCCAATGGAGGATGTGAATATTTCTAATTCAGTCAATAAAATCTATGATATGGTGTTTGCATATTCAAATTTATCTCACATAACTCTTGGAAAGAATTTAAGTGGAATGGAGCAATTAGTTTTTACTCATACCCCATTGAAAGTTTTGGTTTTAAACGAAAACTTCAGTTATTTCAATAATTCAGCTTTGGCTGTATCAAATATTACTAATGTAACTTTATCATTGAATATTAGTGAGATTGGCAGTTACACGTTTAGTGATACAAAGCTTGAATTTATTAACATTCCTGAAGGTGCCACAACGATCTATGATGGATCATTTGCTAACAGCTCTCTAAAATATATCGATATGGCATCAACAGTTGAATCAATTGAAAGTCACGCATTTTTCAATTCCACATTAGAGGCAATATTTATTAAAGAGGGAACCAAGTACATTCATAGTTATGCATTTGCTGGTACAAAAATAAAGAGTATTGAGTTACCACATACTTTACTGAGTATTGGATCTTATGCTTTTCAAGGTGCTCCATGTGAAAACATTACTTTCTATGAACAATTTAGCGATGTTGGAAGTTATGCATTTACAGGTAGCAATGTCAAACATGTGATTTTCTACAATGTTAATTCTATTGGAAGTATGGCATTCTATGATTCTGCCATTGAAACAATCAAGTTCCCCGAAACAGCATCTCTAAGTATTGGTTACGGATCCTTCATGAATTGCGAGTTACCTGATATTATTCTTCCGAAAGGAACAACATCAATTGGAAAATTTGCATTTAGAGGCATAAACTTAGAGAAATTATTCTTGCCTTCATCACTTTGGTTGGGACATAATTGGTCTTACGTAGGATGCCAAATTGAGAGTGTTATTCTAGAAGAAGGTATAACAAGAATCCCAGATTATTATTTCAACCTGGGAGATTTTTATTCATTTTCTATTCCATCAACGGTTAGATACATTGGAGAATATGCATTCTTGTCATCATGGATGAATGAAATAACTATTCCTGCAGGATGCAATGTTTCACGATATGCATTCAAAGATTGTAAAGCATTGAACAAAATAACGATCGGTGCAAATTGTATAATCAATAAAGATTCGTTTAATCTATGCAATAACACAAAGATAGTTCAAGTTGGAGAGAACATTGACTTCAAAGACATGGCATTTGGAGATCTTGCAAATATCAGTTTAATTTACACAGGAACAAATGACATCACTGATCAAATGACAATAGATAACTATAAGCAGATTGCAGCAAATGTCACAGTTCCATGCAGCTATTCATCCCCCACATTTTGTGGAATTAATGTTATCAAGAAAGATGAATGTTCAGAATTATAACTCAAGATGGTATTTTTTTGAATAGCATCAAAAGACTCGAGGGTAATTTATTTATTTTTTTCTAAAATTTTACTATTGTTTTTTTTTGCGGTTAAATTCCAAAATATTCTTTAAATATTAAAAATTATCAGAATATACTACACGCATTATTGTCGAAATGTTTCAAAATTCTTTGATTTGAAAAATTAAACTTCTTATAACATTGAATTATTAAGAAACATAGTTATATCCTTTTTTATTATTGCAATATTCAAAGTGTTAAACCCAAATAAAATATGAACATTTATATTTGAAAACGCAGAAAATAATAATTTAGCAATAAAATTAAATAATAATAATATAAAAATATATGTTATTATTAATCATCATCTGTTCTTGAGAAGTACATGGCAGCAAGAGCTCCATATCGAACAGAGCTTGAAGGTTTGTTGTATGAGAAACAGTTCCAAATGCCATCACATGTTGTCAGATTGACTGGACGAATTTTAAGAAATCTCGGAGATCTGTAACAACATGTAACAAAAACATTTCTTGGAACACCAAGCATGTTTTCTCTTGTTGTTGGATTTCTGATATCATGCAAACCATAATGGACAACAGTTACATTTGTTACATTATGGAATGAGTCAGCTTCTGCAGTGAACTCTCCATATGTTGTAATATTTCTAATGAAAGAGCAATTCAGAAATGCATCACGACCGATTCTGCAGTCAATTTGAATAGTCAAATTAGTTAAATCAATGCAACATTCAAATGCACCATTGAGGATTTGTGTATTATTCCATATAAACAATTCAGGAATTTCACTAGAGAGGAATGAATATGGACCGAAGTACCTCAATGAGACAGGGAGTTTGATATTTGGCGAATGAGAAAATGCAAAAGTAAATTCTTCAAGTTTGGTAACTCCTGGTTCAATTTCAACAAAATCAGATAATAATCCAGTAAATGCAAACTTGCCAATACTTTCTATTGTGTTAGGGATCTTGAGATATCCAATGCAAGAACCTTTAAATGCAAATTCTTCAATTACTTTAGTACCTTTTGGAATAGTGAAATAAGGTGCAATCGTTTTACTGAAAGCAAATATTCCAATCTTTGTTATATTTGCAAATTCAGGCATTACGATATTTGTTATTTGACAAGTGTAAAATGCACAATTTCCAATGTATTCCAATGTACTTGGGAGAGTAATTGACTGAATATTTGAATCATAAAAAGCATAATTTTCAATTTGTTTCAAGCCTTCTTTGAAAACCATCTCGCTGCAATAGCTATATCTAAATGAATATGATTCAATTATTTCTAATGACTTCGGGAAATCAAAATATTTGATTTTACAGTTTTGGAATGATTGACTGTAGATTCTTACCAATCCTTCAGGTATAACTAATCTAGAAACCTTGTTGCCTTTGAATGCTTCAATGTTGACATTTACAAGGGATCGAAATTCAACCGTAGTTATGTTACTATATGCCAAAGCATAATCATCTAATGTTTTGAAGTTTTCTTTGAAGACCAATTCTGTAACATTACTATTTTGGAATGCATAATTACCAACACTCACAAGAGAATTTGGAAGCTCTGGATTCTCCAATCTAGTGTATGCAAAGCAACTGCTATATATTTCTCGCAGGCTTTTTCCAAGTGTTATGCGTGTCAAGTTACTATAAGCGAATGTGCTGGAACGCAAAGTTGTCACTGGATCAGGAATGTTTATTTCTTCCAAAGGAGTTTGATAAAAGCATTCTTGATCAATATAGTTTACATTAGGTGGCAAAACAATGTCGTGAATACGTGATTGATAGAATGCTTGATCGTTTATTGTAGTCAATGAGTTTGGAAGAGTTATTGATTCAATTTTACTATATTGGAAGCAGTAACTAGGAATTGTTCTTACACCTTCAGGGATGTTTATAGATTGAAGAGTGCAATATTTGAAATCAGCTTCACCTAAAGTCCTAAGTGTTTCAGGGAATGTCATGCAATCAAGGACGATTTGTCCTCCCAGGCATTGAGGATGTACTGCTCGTAGAGTTTCATGACCTCTGCCTTGCACCAGACACCCTCTCCCTTGGAACGTAAGGCTTCTTCGAAGTGCTCGAATGCGATTGGCTGCGTGACCATCTAAATGACACTTTTTGTCCGTTTGGTCAATGTTTGTGTCTCGTGCATAGTCGACGAAAATACAACAAACAGGTTATATATGAGTTTGAGACCAAGAATTCCCCACATTTAATTCAAATTCAAATAAAAATTTTTTTACTTCATGCAATGTTTTATTTCTGTGCCGTCTTCAAGTATGCCCCAGTACTTACGCTTGGAGAGACATGAACTTCGGTGAAAATTTTGTCCAATTTGAATTGACCCATCTTTTCACCGACCATGCCCATTTCAATGAGTTTGTTATAGCCTTCTTCGTTCGTCATGAGTGTCGTCAATGTTCTCATAGTAAACCAAACTTTCGATTTGACTTCGGAGAAGAATTTGTTGTAGTTGTCAAGGACGCCTTTGCGAACTGAGGGTAAGACCAATGTTCGACAATAGGTTTTAATGTGGTTACTAAGCCACTTTGACCTTGAGTGAATTCGTACTTCAAAACAAAAGAGAAAACTTTCAACAAAGTTGTCGACCTTCTCATAATGTTTACTCTTCATCTCTTGAGGTTTCTTAATGGAATATTCCCATGTTCGAATTCATAAGCAATTTGAGTGTCATTGCAAGTTTGGGGTTTGAAGCTTTCCTAATATCATAGAGTTGTGTATGACTTTTCCAACTGTATAGTTCCTTCCCGGGAACTCACCGTCTTCGTTTGGAATTCCAGTCGGAATATATTGGACGAACCTCATGTATGCAGCGTTAGGTCGACATAGTATATCTTTTCGTTGAGGTCACTGTCGCAACCAATTGGTCCAGTTTGTGGAAATTCAAGTGAGTCTCTTATCTTCTGAGAAACTTCTCCTGTTATCTCATAAACATCGTCGAAGCAACCTGTTTCATATAAAACCTTCTGACCTAACTCAGATGCTCTCCAATACAATTTGACGTCAAATTGGA